TATTAAAAAATTTAAGTTATCGCCAACTTTTTCTCCAAGGGCAGTGAGAAATCATTGAACGCTTTTATTATTTGGTTTGTTTATTTATTTATTTCCCCTTTACCATCCTGTATGTCCTCTTGTCCCTTTCAACCTCCCTCTAACCTCTTATACTCAAAGACCTCACTTCGCTTATTAATGTCTGCTGGTTTTTGTTGGCATTTTACTTTGTTGAATTTTTCACTATAGAAATATAGAGTCCAGCATTTGTCTTTATAGTGCCAACTTGCTTTACAACATAATTCTCGAACTCCTTCTGCTTTGTTGTGAAAGGCAGCATTTCATCTTTTATGACTGGGTAGCATTTATATACCATATCTTCTTAATTAAATCTTCTAATGATGAGCACTTAAGCTTCCTATATGTTTTAGCTATTGTCACGCTTGCTGCAATAAGCAGTGTAGAGCATATAGTTTTCCAGGTTGACGGAAGTTCTTCGAATAGATGCTAGGAAGTAGAATTACAAAAGCATATGATACTTGTTTTTTAAGGGTCTCCTTAATGTGTTCTCATAGATGTGAGATGATATCTCATTGTGGCTTTTTTTTTACAAAGATTTATTTATTTATGCATACAAGAACTGGGGTATAGGACAGAGGCATGGGGGGGAGGTGAGAGGATTCACAAGAGACAGAGTGGGGAACAGAACAAGCAGACTGACTGAAATACACTGCTGAGGGGAGCAGCAGGCGAGCCAGGAGAGGTCTGCTGCGCCATGTGGGTAGCTCCCTGCCTGGGAATTGAACTCAGGCTGCAGTGGCTGCGGATAGCTTCATAGATTGTGTCTTAACCCCTTGCGTCACTAGGGAGGCCCCTTACTGTGGTTTTGAGCTGCACCTTTTTGTGGAAGTGATGATGAACATTTTCCCACTTTATCTATTGGCTTTCAGGAGATCCTCTTTGGTGAACTGACTCACCACATGCCCTGTGCTCATGCTCCTAATCTTTTTCTTACAATAACAGGGCATCACATGAGAATAATGAAACCTGGGAGGAAACAAAGCTGAAGGTGGCTGCCACCGAGGCTAGCAGTGGGAGGCACAGAAGAGGTGAGTTACTCCATGTTCCTTACAACTGTGCGCCCCTTATCCTGCACAGTGCTGGGTCTCCAAACTTCTTGACTTGGGTGCATAGCCCTGAATCAGCATGTGTAGGAGTGCTCTGCGTGGGAGCCACTGCTCTTGTCGGTCCTGAGCCCCAATATTGCTGTAAAAACAGCTCAGTTAAAGTTTTCCTACACAAAGAGAAAACAGACAATTATAAACCAGAGACATCCTGCAGGGGAGCAGGAGGGAGAGGGATCAGAGGGAGGGAGGGAGGCGCACAGGGGACAGAGGTGATGGTGCACAGGTGCATTGGGGAAGGAAACTCTATGGGGACTACACCAGAGGGGGTGGGGGGAAGCAAATATTGTTCAAAAATGAACAATGACGTAAAAAATTAAAAAATTAAAAAAAAGTTTTCCTACACTTTCCACTGGGTGATTGCGCCTACTTTATGCCATTATGGCCCAGGGTTATTGACTTTGTTCCACTGCAATTTAGTGGTGAGCTTGGGAGGAGGCAACCCAGAGTCTTTGCTCTGTTGCCATCTTGCTGGACTCTACCTCCAACTTTCCAATACTTAATTATTTCTGGGTTTTGAGAGATGCTCATCTGCTAAAAATAAACATACCATCCTACATAATTGTATCCCACTGGTTAATTCTATCAAATATTTAAAAAGCAAATCCTGCTCCTATAGACACTCGTTCTGAAAACGGAGCAAAGAACATTTACCAACTCATTTTAAGGCCATTATTTGCCCTGATAAAGATAGTTAGAGAAGCTATAACTAATGTCCTTCATGAATTGAGATGCAAAAATCCTTTACAAAATATTGGCAAACTGAACTCATTGATGTACAAAAGGATTAGTCACTATGAACACATCAGATTGAGCTCACATAATTCTGGAGGTTACCTCCCCATGCAAATTTAGGGGCTACTCTGGCCATAGACAATACAATGCTAACAGACTGTATTCGGGATTTCTCTTATGGTTTTGTCAGTCAGTCAGAACTTACTGATACTATTATTGTAATGAGAAGCACAGAAGGAATATGTGGAAGGTGCAAATGATATTTAAAGGAGTCTAGATAGATGTGGGGGAATCAGGGACTTAAGTTCACACTCAGTGAGTATGATTTTTTTTTTTTAACATTTATTTATACATACAAGAACAAGGGTATAGGCCAGAGGCGCAGGGGGTGAGAGGATTCACCAGAGACAGAGTGGGGAAGAGAACAGGCAGACTGACCAAAGTGCACTGCTGAGGGGAGCAGCTGGTGCGTCAGGAGAGGTCTGCTGAGCCATGTGGGTAGCTCCCTGGCTGGGGATCAAACTCGTGCTGCAGTGGCTGCGGACAGCTTCATAGGTTGCGTCTTAGCCCCTTGCGCCACCAGGGAGACCCCAGGTGAGTATGATTTTGTACCTGAGAGAGAGCAATATGATGGAACATCCTAGAAAGACAGCGAATAATATGTAATAAGTGAAAGGCTGTCTCTATTCTAAAGGAGAGGAAGCAGGAAAGAAACCAAGAGGAGAGGCACTATCCTGTTAAATGAGCAAGTTCAGCCTAAGCAGACTATTTGTTTTAAGACATGTATATTACAGTGCACATAAAACTTTACCGTGAACATGGAACTTTGGATGTAGTTTACCAGGGCAGAAGCTTAACAAGTTTGCTTTTCTAGTTTTTTTTTTCCCTTTTGGGAGAATAATTTCTAAAATAATCATACCATACAGTAATTATATGGCTCTTAATAGTCATATAATTTGAAGATCACAATTCGGTTCCCTGTCATTAATTTTTTAATCAGTAGCCTATCTGGCCAGCTCCCAGTGACTTGATAATAGTCGTAAAAATTCCTTGGCCAGATCAACGTGGTTACTTGCATGCACTCTGTCTCTGATAACGTTCATTTCCTTTCGTTAAATTCAAGAACTTGCTGTGGCCCCAAGATGATGAGAGCCAAGTGGGTTGAACTAAAACCTTTATCATTTGCAGGCTTTTGTGAAATGAATACCGTGATGTCTCTGTAGTCAGCCATATCAAACATGAGTGCACCGAGGACAGTTTAAGCCTATTGCCAAGTGGATGCAAATCAGAGAAGAGTCCTGCCTTTGTGCAGTTAGGAATCGAGTGTTTGAATATAAAGCATAATGCACAGGCTGTAACCTGTGTCCGCAAACACACAGCTACCATTTATTGAGCAACTAGGGGACACACACACACACACACACACACACACACACACCCCTACAATTTAATTCTCACAAAAACCTGGAGGAGAATAGTATCAACTCTTTTTTTTCATCTAGGAAAAAACTGAGGTTTCCAGCTAGGCCGACATGACCCAGAACAAAAGATAAGAGGTTTTAAGAGTTCAGAGATGTGTATTTAACTTCATTGCGACCTTAGGCAAATGACTCTTTTTATAGGAGCCTTCTTTTCCTTACATGCAAAACTCCTCCTTCTTTGTTGGGCTGTTCTGAGCGTTGGATGAGAAGCTGCAGGCCAAGCACTGAACGCAATCTTAGCCTATAATAAAGGCTCTGGTAAGGTCAACAAATGCATTAAAAAACAAATGCCTGGTCTCACTCATAGCAGGAATCTAGAAAACTTAAATAAGGGACCAGGAAAATGAATAACTATAAGAAAGTGAAAATCAAAATCGACAAACAAATATGAACCAGAGACACTCTATGGGGGGGTGGGGGGCGGGGAGCGGAGGGTTTGGGGTCAAAATAAGGGGGTTGCAATTGTATGGGGAATATAAAAATAAAATTTATTTTAAAAAAACAAAACAAAACAAATGCCACCACTAGTAACCCTCATTGTGGACTCTAAATCGTAGAATCTGTGCTGACCAGAGACTTCACAGATTTTACTCAAGCCATCTAAGCCACCGATTCAGAAATTCAAAGGAAATCCTAAAGTTGCCCTCACAACCCCCTCGCAGCCAAATAGACTCACCTTCCTACCTCCTTTCCTTATAATTCTACTCAGCTCCCAAAGAGCTTCCACTTTCTTGGCAAGTCAGGAGTGCAACAGGGTGGTCCCCAGGAAAGGGGGAGGTTCCCTGCCCCACCCAAGGGAGGGTGGAGCTGAGCAGGGAGTGGAGAAGCGGCAGAGGAGACGGAGGAAGGAAGGAAGCAGGATGGAGCCAGGAGACCTGGAGGAGGCGCATGGAGCCTAGAGACACGTGAAGAAACTGCTTGTCTTTTGGTCGTGGACGGGGTGACACAGATGTGGGTGAGACCCGTGGGGAGGTGACAATGGCAGCTTTTATCTGGATGTTGATTTTGCTCTTTTCCTTCCAGGCTTGTCTGGTTGTTTCTGACCCTTTTCTGTGGGTCCCCACTGGAAGATGCTTTAGACTGTGGCAGGCTTTGGGGCCTTGCTCTGGGCCAATCCCATTTGGATGGACTTTTACCCACGAGGGGACGGGTCACTTTGGGTGCTTCATTTAGAAGCTAGATTCTTTGCCTTTCCTGTATTGTTTCCTAGTTTAATTAAAGTTCCTTCCCATTAAAGTCTCCTATGTTTTGTGTTGATGCGGCGGATGGCAGAACCCATTTAGAATAGGCAGGTTTGCGGGGTTTGGGCTGCCCCTCTCCCTGCCCTATAACAGGAGGACTGACTCAGCACTTGGCCAGGCGCATGGAGTTTCAAATTAAAGAAGTAAAACCTTTCAAGGAGTGGCCTCTTTGAGTAAGGCTGTCACATGCCAAGTCTCTTCCCTATGGAGAGCCTCGGTGACAGACAAGAGAGTGTGCACCAGACGTGTGCCCAGACGTCGCAGAGGCTGCAGCGCGGCGCCCCAGATCGCCCCCTGCGCAGGCTGGGGATGGTGCCAAGCTCCGCCCTTCCCGCCCCGGCCCGCCCCGGCCCGCCCCCGCGCCCACCCCGCGCCGGCGCTGCAGGGAGGAGCTGCTGGCGCCGCCGCTACGGCCGAGCGCGACCCTCCGCACCATGCCCCGCATCGATGCGGACCTCAAGCTGGACTTCAAGGATGTCCTGCTCCGACCCAAGCGCAGCAGCCTCAAGAGCCGGTCCGAGGTGGGGCCCCTGGGAGGCCGCAAAGGGGTGGGCACCTTTCCACCGGGGCTCGGGGCGCAGGCTGCAGAGCCGCGGGAGGTGGTGACCCAGCCGGTCCCAGCGTGTGCTGGCGGGTAGGGGTGCTGGCCCGCTTGGCTCGCCCCCTGGAAAAGGGGGAGCCCTCTGGGTCCCTGCCAGGACCGGAGGTGTCTTTTAAGGGCCCCATTTCGGGCCTCAAATTCGAGATACGTCCGGTTGGGTGGGCAGGAGGGAAGTGTGCGCTGGAGCCAGAGCGCAGAGGGGCAGAGCGCAGGTGGCCGGCGGAGTAGACAGCTTGGGGAGGGGTGTGGGGGTGCCTGCACGGAGGAGAAGGCGCAGTGGCGCCCGGGTAGGAAGGGGGAGGAAAAGCAAGTCAAGATCCTGGTGGTTTTGGCAATGCCTCTCAGTGCGGAGACCTGCGCTGCCCTGACACCAGGGCATGTTCAGCAGCGGAATTTTAAAATGCCTGAAGCTCCAGGGCAAAAGTTCAGGGTTTACTTTGCGCGTTCAGTGAGTGGCCTGGTTGGAGAGAGGCTGGGGACCCCTAAGCAGGGACACCCCGCCTACTGACAGCCTCAGGCCACCCGGGTCCTAGAGACCCTGAGACAATGTGGGTGCAGGTGTAAGGATGGGGGTTGGGAGAGGAAGCGGTTGCCTGGGGCAGTTTTGCTGGTTCTGCCCAGGGAAGTTTAAGCCTGGGAACAGGTGGAGACTGGACTGAGTAGCCCTGGGGGAGGGCGCAGGCCTGCCCTGGCCCACAGGAGGAAGGTCAAATTCTGAAGGATAAACTCGTTGCCCAGAAAGCAGAGTCCCTGGAGTGCTGTGTCCTGGTGACCCTGGTCAGGTCTAGTCCGCAGGGAGCTGGAGAGGAAGATGAGCAGACTGGGTTGAGTCTGGAGGTTGGAGCCTAGCCTGCACACCTGGGGTCGTCGCTGCCCCACGCATCATGAATAAAGCTCCTCAGGGAAGGATTAGGCTGCCTGCCTGTGGCCAGGCCTAACTGCAGTGCCTGGAGCTGCCAGCTGAAGGCTTAGTGGAATTAAGCCACTTTAGCCAAAGTCCAGAAGCAAGTCACTTTCTCAAGCGGGCTGGTTGGCCAGCTGGAGCCTGCGACTGGATCAGGGGAGCCCAGGGGTCAAGAATTAGTCCTTATCACCCATAACTGGGAGGTCTTTCAGGTGCAAAAGAACAGGCCAAATCTTGGACGAAAAAGACCATTTGGAGGGCAGGTCCTGGCCATTGGCCAGTGCCTCAGGCCAGACCAAGATGACACGTGAGGCTTCCGAGACTCAATATTTGGTGGCCTCAATATTCTTTAAATATTTATTCACAATTCACAAAGAGAAGCTTAACTTTTAAGAAGAATGATGCATTTAAAGCGAGGATATGTTTTTCTTCACCCGGGAAACATCTTGAGAAGGAAAACATTTGAAATTTATGCAATAGGATGAATTATTCTTTCCTAGGGAATAGTATGACATCATGCATCATTGGATTTCATAATTTGGCCTGATCATTAATGTTGGCCGAGCTTCCAAGGGCACCTTGCAATCTACAAGTCCATGCTGGAGTGAGACCTCTGTGCCCTTGAAAAATGTCTTCTTGTTTTTACTTCTGTGGGAGTTTGCTGGCGTGGGTTCTGGAAACCTGAGTTAATGCTAGCATTGCCTTTCCAGTGGGTGCCCTTAAAGGTTCAGCTGCCTGGCTGGCTACCCCTCATCTGACTGCCTGCTTCAGTGGTATTGAGGCATCTAGTTCGGCCTCTCCATGTTCCTCAGTTTGCTTATGGTTGCCTGGAATTTCTTGTAGGCAGGTGAAAACTTTCTTTGCACAGATAGAAACCTAAAATATATGTCCCCTCATGAAGTAACACTTCGTGCAACTAAGAAGCTGGCTGATCTTAACCAGGCTGTAGATCTGAGTGGCCCCGGGAGAGAAAACACAAAGGAGAGAAGCGTCTGGCTGGGGAGAGTTTTGACTGTGGACAAGATTTTATAATTGCAGCAGGTTTGCAATGAGCCAGGCTGCTGCTGGATCATTAGGCAGTCAAGGGAAAGGCAAAGTGATCTTCCACTCTGCGGTTTATGTACTCCAACAAGGGCTTCTCCACAAGCATGACATAAAATGAATTAGAAGCCAACAGGGAGAACTGGCAGGTGGCTGTTCTGTGCTTAGAGCAGAGGTTGTCCGCTCCCACCTGTCCATCCATCACAGGTACCCATAGTGGCACAAGTCCCTGGTACAAAGGAATAAAGTCCCACAGGGCCTCCCTGGTGGCGCAAGGGGTTAAGACGCAGTGCTACGAAGGTCTCCCCAGCCACTGCCGCAGGAGTTCGATCCCCAGCCAGGGAGCTACCCACATGGCACAGCAGACCTCTCCTGCCTCACCTGCTGCTCCCCTCAGCAGTGTATTTCAGTCAGTCTGCCTGTCCTGCTCCCCACACTGTCTCTGGTGGATCCTCTCACCGCCCCCTCCCCCCATCGCTGGTCTATACCCCAGCTCTTGTATGCATAAATAAATAAATATTTTAAAAAAATATATAAAAATAAAGTGCCGCAGGGCTACATGGGGGCATTTGGATAATGTTTTCAGAGCCCAAGACTTGTTTATTGATTAAGGCAAGACATATGTTTTTATTTGACATATTGAGCAGTTGACATCATTGTCTGCCTCACCCCCAGAGTGTTTTCTTCCCTAGGTTCCTTCTGGTTTTAACCTTCTGGGCTCATCTTTTTATTATTATTATTTTTAAAGATGTATTTCTATTTGTGCATATAAGAACCAGGGTGTAGGCCAGAGGTGCAGGGGGTTTGAGAGGATTCGACAGCAACAGAGTGGGGAACAGAACAGGCAGATTGACTGAAATACACTGCTGAGGGGAGCAGTGGGCGAGACAGGAGAGGTCTGCTGCGCCATGGGGGTAGCTCCCTGCCTGGGGATTGAGCTGAGGCTGCAGTGGCTGGTGATAATTGCATAGTGCTGAGACTTTAACCCTGTGCCACCAGGAAAGCCTCCTCATCTTATTTTTTTATAGTGTTTTTATGAGAACATTGATTTACAACACTGTATGTGTGTCAGGGGTGTCGGGTCACACCTCTACAAACACCTACCATCACCACACCCACCTCCAAAGCACCAGTGACTCCCCAATTTCCTTCATTGAACCCCACCTCTCATCTTGAAGCCAGTAAGTTTTTTTTTTTTTTAACTTCTAATGCAACCACAACTTTAGAAGTGGGTCAGTGAAGAGCATTTGCAGCAAAAAACTGACCACTTGCCCTAAGGCAGGAAGATTCTACATGAATATTCAGTCTCCTGAAAACTCCAGTTATTTGTTCGCCAGTGCTCCAGGGAGTCGGGTCCAGCCTCAGCGATCCACAGCAGGTAGACCAAGGTGGAGGAGATCCTGGCCGAGTGGAGGGGCTGACAAAGAAGACCTGGGTTTTAGTCCAGGCTCTGCACTAATTATTTCATTACCTTGACACTGCGTTTATTTCCTGGAGCTGCTGTGATCAAGTGCTGCATGCTGGGTGGTTTAGACAACAGACATTGATTGTGTCGCTGTTCTGGAGCCTGGAAGTCCCAGATCATGGGACTAATTCCTTCTGAGCGCTGGCAAGAATATCTTTTCCAGGACCCTCCTATCTTCTGGTTGTTTCCACGGAGCCTTTTGGTGTCTCTGGGCCTGGAGATGCATGATTCCAATATTTACCTTCATGCCCACATGACTCTCCCTTTCTTTGTGTCTGTGTCCAAATTTCCTCTTTTATAAGAAACTTCGACATGTTGGAATTGGGCCCACCCTCGTGACCTCATCTACCAAGACCCTCTTCCAAGTAAAGTCTTATTCACAGGTGCTTGTGGTGGGGACCACATCATCTTTTTGGAGAGATGCAATTCAAACTGTTACAGGGAACCCCAAAGTGAAATGGGGGCCTGACTGTGGGTCCTCACCCGCATGCTTCAAGGGGACTTATAATGAGACTCAACTGCAGGCACACACAAATAGGTTAATAAAGGGTTTATTTACAAAAAGGGGAAATGAAGAAAGGAATAACTCAGGGAGAAAGAGAGAGGAATTGTTGAATGCGTCCTACCAGTTCCGCTGAGTTGGAACCCCAATAGCATGCTAAAAGCTGGTGAAAACCAAGCCACCCCTCCACCCCCCACCCCCCCACATCCCACCCCACCCCACCAAGGCCCACATGTCTGGCTGCTTAACTCCACCCTAATTCCCAGCCCTCCCTTCGGTGGTGATGACATTATGGGATTTGTAGTCCTTGGTGTCTTGGCTCTCTTTGGTCTGGGGTGGGGGTGGGGTCCCTAAAACCTATTTGTGGCGTTTGTTCAGGACCTTCTTTGCCCCCAACAAAACCATAACAGCCTCTGTAAGTTTTGCTTTGTAAAGATAGAGGGTTTGACGAGCTAGACTTGCTCTTATGAGTGCATCAGTCACCTAGGAGATGCACCAACAAACACACATGGCCTCCCACACAGGGTTCTGCTTTGTTCATAGTGGGGGATGTGTATTTTGGAAATCATGTGGTGGTGATGGCTGTGAGGTGTACACACATGCCCTGGACTGGCCTGGGAGCCCTTTCCATGCTGAACCCAGGTTCTCTGCCAGTGTGCAACTTCTGTGAGTCCTGGCAACTGAAGGTGAAGCTTCCAGGGCTGGTCAGGTCACCCCCCCCACCCCCCACCCCCCACATTGCCCTGAAAAAGCTCTGGGGCCCAAACACATCTTATTTTTGGCCCTCAGCCAAACCTCAATTTTTTCCTCCCTTTTTGAGTCAGAGGGACTACACAGAGGACCTGACTTTTTGACCCTGTCCTTAGACTTACATCTACAGGGGAGACAGATAATGAATAAAGTATTAGCTTTCATCGGTACCATCCATAGATCAAGGCTAAAGGGGCTGGGGCCCTGAGCCCATTTGTGGCCCCCTGGTGGTATCAGTCTTGCTATCTGTCTTCACTGGACCAAACTGGTGGGTGGTGCTGTCCCTCTCAACCATGTCTAGGACTCAGGTTCCTGAATTGTGCTGCTCAGATGAAATGGAGCTCATTGAAAGACTTGCCTGGGTCTCTTCTTGGGGTGTGTTTGCCCCGGGGCCCTCCATGCGGCTGTTGTACTCACCTCCAACCTCAGATTGGCCACAAGGCAGGTGTTTGTGGGACTGTGTGTGTGTGTGTGTGTGGCTTATCATGCGGATACCCATGACACTATGTTCCAGTGCTTTCCACATGATTCATGAAATTGTGTTTGTCAAGGAGGGAGGAAGGAACAAAATGTATGTAGCAGCTTGGTAACTTGACTCACAACACTCAAGTATTTAGGAATGTGGTAGGTGGGCCGCCATGTGTGCTTCTGAGCTCCCACGTGTGGGCCTGGAGGACTGACTGACGTGTGACGTGTTTAGAAAGCAGCAGAAACATGGTGTTTCAGGTGTGTGTGGGGGGGGTGGAGAGAATTGCTCCATGTTCTGTTTTAAGTCAGGCTTAGCAGAGAGGGAATTTGGAGGTGCTTTATTTGGTGCATTCACCAGCTGTGGTAGATTCAATGCCAAGTTTTGTTCCTGGGAGGTTGAACTGCTGAAAATACTTATCTGTCTCAGTAAACAACTGGTTGTGTGTGTGTATGTGTGTGTGTGTGTGTGTGTGTGAGAGAGAGAAAGAGAGAGAGAGAGAGAGAGAGAATAAGGTTAAGGTTGGGGAAGATAATTTTATTTCTCATTTGTAGAATTAAGAATTGTGAAGAATCTACTGTATGGAGCAGGCTAGACATGAGAGGGACAGTTCGTGGTCACGGCCAGCCCCTTCTGTGGCAAGGGCTGCTTTTTGTGTACTGCTGATAGGTTGGGGAGGGCCAGAAAACCCCCCTGGAAGCTCAGCTGGTGAGAGCAGCAGCTCTTCCCCTGCATCCTGGGAACAGTAATCTGACACTGAGGAATCTGATCAATTTTAAGCCTGTGAAGCCAAAATATTTGAGGGCCAGTTAGTGGCACAGAAGGTTGCAACTAATAGACCCTTACAGTTACCTTTCAGGGTACAGGAATGACTCACTTCTCTGAAGGAGAACTCTGAGAATCGCAATAAAGGAAGTGGGAAAGGAATGGGCAGCTGCGCAGATCATGCAGTTACAATGTCTCATTTCCCTGGCTGGCTGCAGTTGGAGGACAGAGCAGTCACCATCATGACATCACCGGCCCAGGAGGCCTTCTGCAAGCAGAGCCGGGTGGGGAGAAGACAGAGACCTGGAAAAGCAAAATGTCCTGCGGTGTCTGTGGTGCAAAGTGAAAGTTGGCTCAGACGCAAAAGAATAAAGGAAGGATTTAGATGATCACCGTTATTGCTGGTATACTCGGGAGGTCAGGATTAACGTAGGTTCACATTATTTCAGAAGCAGTACATTCATAGCTGTGCTTTTCCACGCATTCTCCTTCGGGGAGGCACCCACTTTGGTCTGTATCCAGCAGGGTTCAGTCAAGGAACCAAACGGTGCTGAATATTTAAAACTGGAAATTGAATGCAATTTTGGCGTCCTGAGATGCCAAAGTGTGATCTGGAGGGACCTAGAAGTTGAGGTGGCAACAGCGAGAAGCTTCTCGCAAAAGGGGCGAGGTATGTTACTGGAGTCCCACTCTGAGATCATTCTAAAAGCTAGAACCAGGCCTTCCTGGTGGCACAAGGGGTTAAGATGCAACCTATGGAGCCTCCCCTGGTGGCGCAGTGGTTGAGCGCTGGGCTGCGAAGCTGCCCGCAGCCTCTGCAGCGCCTGTTCGATCCCCGGCCACCAGCAAGGGTCCCACATGGCGTGCAGACCTCTCCTGCCGCCTGCTGCTCCCCTCAGCAGTGTATTTTGTCAGTCTGCCTGTTCTGCTCCCCGCTCTGGCTCTGGTGAATTCTCTCACCCTCCCGCGCTTCTGACTGTACCCAGTGCTTGTATAAATAAATAAATAAATCTTTAAAAAAAAAAAAATGCAACCTATGAAGCAATCCGCAGCCACTACAGCATGAGTTTGATCCCCGGCCAGCCAGGGAGCTACCCACATGGCGCAGCAGACCTTTCCTACCTCGCCCGCTGCTCCCCTCAGCAGTGTATTTCAGTAGATCTGCCTGTTCTGTTCCCCACTCTGTCTCTGGTGAATTCTCTCATCTCCCCACACCTCCGGCCTACACCCCAGTTCTTGTATGCATGAATAAATCATAAAAAAAAAAAAAGCTGGAACCGAGGCCATGTAGGCCAAGGCACTGAGGGTCTGGAAGAATCACCCCGACTATGCCCATGCCTCCCTACCCTTATCTCCCCCAGTGCCTTCTACTTTCCAACCCTGTGACCCTACTGGCTGAACCCAGGCAGAAACCACCTTGGGAAGTGGAGCCTGCAGGAGGTGGCCCCCTTTTGAGAAGAGGGGAACAGGGCCAGGCAGGGGAGTGGATCTGTGAACATACAGACCAGGCATCTGCCCTGGGTCAAAGAAATGATTTTGACTCTGTTAGATCTTGGCGAGCCCACGGCCCTGCACACTGCTTTCACCGAGTCCACTTTTCCTGGCCTAGCTCTTGTTCTGGATCCTGATAGTGGATAGTGAAGAGTTACAGTAGAATTGGAGGGCTCTCCCTCCAGGTATTTGCAAGTCACAGGAACAGGTTTTTCTATGCAGAGACACATGGTAGCAATATACTTCTCTCCAGCTCTGTGAATGATGCTTATAAAACAGCTGAGGAGGGCCTCCCTGGTGGCACAAGGGGTTAAGCACCGCACTATGAAGCTGTCCACAGCCTCTGCAGCACGAGTTCAATACCCGCTGGCCAGGGAGCTACCCACATGGCACGGCAGACCTCTCCTGTCTCGCCCACTGCTCCCCTCAGCAGTGTATTTCACTCAATATGCCTTTTCTGCTCCCCACTCTGTCTCTGGTGAATCCTCTCACCCCCCACATCTCTAGCCTGCACCCCAGCTCTTGTATGCATAAATAAATAAATCTTTAAAAAAAAAAAACAGCTGAGGAGGTAGAATAGTTGCTGCTCACTGTTCAGAGTTTCTGGTTGTGGCAGGAGGAGACGGTGAAAGGGTTGTCTGCGGTGGGCAGGAAAGGGTGGAATGGATTTTACCTGGAGGGGAACCATCCCACGATTGCCTGGAAGTGGAGAAAGATCACATGTATGTGGGTGTTTAGGACTAGACTGGGGATAGAGGGTGGATGGCAGAGACTGTTGAAGCAGGGAGCTTCTCAGTTCGAGACTCAGCTTGATGGCAGAATAACCAGTGCCTTGTCTTGGCACCTGAGGAACTAAGGAGGTAAATTAAGCTCTTTCTTCTGGATAGCAACCCATGACTTGGTTTCCTTAAGAACTCTGTTGTCTTTGAAACAGCCCCTGGGCAATCTGGACCAAGAGACATACTCTTCCCCTTTCTAGACTTCCCGCTGGCTCTAAACCAGAAATACTGCAAATACCACATGACAAGCTAAGCATGTCTTTCTTCCTCCTGCCATTAGGTGGATCTGGAGCGAACCTTCACGTTTCGGAACTCGAAGCAGACCTACTCAGGGATCCCCATCATCGTGGCCAACATGGACACCGTGGGGACCTTCGAGATGGCAGTGGTGATGTCACAGGTAGGAGGGCGGGCTTTTACCACCTGCTGTTACTCTGGGCAGGTTATCAGGAGCTGAGGCTGCCCTGCTCTGAGCCAGGGGCCTTCTCTGCAACTGCACTGCTCAGCTGTGAGTCTGGCGGTTGCTGGCGACTCCCTCCTTTTCTTTCCTTTTTGATGAGAGTATCTGTAGTGTCTAGACCAGAACTGCATCCATTTCTTCCTTGAAAATGCCCAGGAGAGTTTGGAAATCGGAGCTATAAAAAGAAATCAGACATTGTGCCATGTTATAAAGTCAGAGAAGTATAAGAGTCACGGCGCCTCTGAAACTAAGTCAGGACTGCTTCGTGTGCCACTGGTGCTGTGGCACTTACTACATTATCATGTGGAAAACACCCATTAGGTGCCAAGCACTGGATATAATACATATAATGTCACAAGTCCACTCGCTGGGACCTTTACAGTTGGGGAAACTGAGTCAGAAAGCGAGAGGGTGGGTGACTGGCCTTAAGACACAAGAGCCGAGAATCAAATCTAAATTGACTAGAGGATAAGAGATTTACCTCCAAGTTGAACTTGATGAGTAATAATATAAGCTCAAGGTCCCTTTTGATCAATTACCAGCCCAATTTCCTATAAAGGGAGTAGCTAGTATCTTGGCTTTGGGAAAATAAAGGATAAATCATCGATGGGCAGTTCTATCCATCCATGCTGCTGCAGGCCTTACAGCCTTGGGCAACCTGGATGTGAAATGTTTGCTTCTTATGTGCACGGGGGTGTGTGTCTGTTTGCGTTGATGATGCCTGCCAAGTGAGAAAATAAATGCAATTAGTTGAAAGAGCTTTTCCCCGTGAGCAAGTCAAAACCTTAGGAGGAACTGGGGTTCATTATTAACTTGTGATTTTTCAACAAATTATGGTAAAAATGGAGTAGAGGTTGATCTCTGCCTCCACCATCCCTTGGATTGTCCTACAGTCCTCAGTCCTCACTGAGCTTTGGGCCTGAGGCTGATAAATTGCTAGAGGAATTTGTTTCCTCTTGCCCTCTTTTCCATGCTCTGCTCTGTGATCAACCATTGCTACTAATGGATTATGAGTTAGCATAAAAGTGGGTGGAATCAGGGAGCAGTGAGTAGCCTTGATTAAGTCCCCTGTCAGATTATTAGTCCATGAGAAACCTGGAACTTGCTATGCTGTTCCATTTTCATAAGAAAGATTCCTTATTAGGGCCTCCCTGGTGGTGCAGGGGTTAAAGACAACGCTGTCAAGCTACTGCCAGCCACTGCAGCATGAGTTCGATCTCCAGCCGGCCAGGGAGCTGACCCACATGGCGCAGCAGACCTCTCCTGTCTCGCCCGCTGCTCCCCTCAGCAGTGTATTTCAGTAGCTCTGCCTGTTCTGCTCCCCACTCTCTGGTGAATCCTCTCACCCCCCACCCTGATTCTCTGACTTACACCCCAGTTCTTATATGCATAAAATAAATAAAAATCTTAAAAAAAAAAAGATCCCTTATTAATGAGACACAGATCCTTGATTCTTCTATTTCTAGCATCCCCAGAATTGCTGCAAGTTGATAAGTTCCTAAAATGAGAAATTGTATTTTATGTATTGCATAAAAGAACTGGGGTGCAGGCCAGAGGTGCAGGGGTGGGGGCAGTGAAAGGATTTACCAGAGACAGAGTGGGGAGCAGAAAAGGCAGATCTCCTGAAATATACTGCTGAGGGGAGCAGCGGGAGAGACAGGAGAGGTCTGCTGCGCCGTATGTGGGTCAGCTCCCTGGCCAGGGATCAAACTCAGGTCTTAGGGGTGATAGCACTGAGACTTAAGCCGTAGGCCACCAGGGAGGCCTGAAAATGGGAAATTGTAGATGGGGAAACTGGCCCAGAAAAATGATAGGCGTGGCCCTGAGCTCCGAAATCTGACTTGTGTGATGCTGGCCTTGCGCCATCCTGGCCAAGCAGTGGTTAACTTTCTTAAGTTTAAATTTGCTAAGCTCCATATCTGCCCTGGAAGCTCATATTACTGTGCAAACTTGTTCTGAGAACCAGTGTATGTAAAGTGCTTGCACAAAGTAGGCACTCAATAAATGTCAGCTAGCCAGCCATCTGGGATTATAATTTATATAATTCCTTCCCCCAGAAATACCGACTGCCTGCTGGGTTTAATTTATAGGAAGAAATGTTTCGATTGTGATCACAAAGAAAAGCTTTCAGGTATAAACTGACGTTCTTTTGGGTTGGCCTCTGCCTCTGGGCAACCCTTCTTAAGTGGGAGCTACTCTTGGCCTAGCTCAGGGGCCCTCCCCTACCTCCTGGCAGAGGCGTCTAAATCCTGAATGCAGGGATGTCTGATCAGCTCAGAATGGAAAACCCGGTTTTGTGATTTCACCAGTTACACCTCTGTCTGTTTTTGGCTTCCAGGAGCGTATTCAAAACAGATTAAGCATGAATGGCAGGAACACCAAAGCTTTTGTCTTGTTGGATCACCCCTCCAGATGGAGGAAGGGAGGGGTAGGGCTCCTGATCTCTCCTCCTAACAGTGCTGTTTTGTTTCCTAGCATGCCATGTTTACAGCCATTCATAAGCATTATACCCTGGATGACTGGAAGCTCTTTGCCGGGAATCACCCAGAATGCCTGCCGGTAGGACTGCATCCTGGTTATGAATTACATCTTTTGGGGAGGGGGGTAGGGAGAGGAAATACACAGGGATTTCAAGAGGGTTGGGATGCATAGCAGATACATAGGCATGCAGTCTTGAAAGAGAGCTGGGGAGGGTGGTGGTGAGGGTGTAGCAGTGGCCCCCATTTCATCAGTGCCAGGGAAATGCCGAGAAAACCATTCTGTATCATATTTTGTAAGGACGATCTGGGGTTTTGGTTTTGCCTTGAAAGGTGAAGTGTTACAGCTGAGTGCTTGAGCAACACCTGTGTTTCCCATGATGGATGGGGTTGGGGGCTGCATACAGTCTGAACATGCCTTTTTGTTACAGGGCAGAGGCGGGGAACCCCAGGGCCTCCAAACCTGCCTGCTCTGAATGGGTTCTGCTATCTGCTGCATAAAGATGCAACATGTTCTAGTGTATAAAAACTTCGATGGAAAAGAACTTTGATACAATTAATGTGCAATAATTAGTGCAACAGAGAGAAGAGAAAGAATATAGTTTCCAAATCAAGCTTCCAAAGTTACCCATCTCCTTGGGGGCAAATGCCCAGCCATGCAGGTTGACCCAAAGCAGGACCGCTGAGGCCCAAAAGCCTGCCCCAAGTCTAAGTAGCGTCCTGGTGCGGGCCCATAGGATAGGGGCAGAAGGGGCCAGGCAAGTCTGGAAGGAAAAGAGCAAAATCAGAACCCAAGTCAAGGCAAAGCCTGACATTGTCAGCTTCCCCTTGTCAGCCACCCACATCTTTTTCAGGTTCCTCCTTCCATGTCCTCCAAGTTCCTGGTACAAGTCCATGGCTTCTTCACATGTCTTTCTGCTCCATGTGCCTCCTCCAGGCCTCCTCCTTAATCTCCCTTCTTTCCCAGTCCTGTCCTCTCTAACTTCCCCCTGCTCAGCTCCACCCCTCCTTAGGGTGGGGCAGGGAACCTGGAACCACCCCTTTCCCTGGGAAGTAGCCTGTTGCATTTTGATTGTAGAAAAAAAACATCTAATTACCAGTTGTTTTGGAGTTGAATACACAATATATCCTCTAGGATGGCTATAATCAAAAAGACGGAGAGTATCAAGTGTTGGTGTGGAGATGGAGATGAGAACTTTGGCAGATTGCTGGCAGGGTTGGATGGGGGTGCAGCAGCATTGGAGAACAGTCTGGCAGTTCCTCCAAAGGCCAAACATAAGTTACCCTATGACTCAGCGGTTCCAGTCTTAGGCATAGACCCAGCAGATGTCCGCACAAAGCTCGTACACAAATGCTCACAGCAGCATGATTCATAACAGCCAGCAGGTAAAAACAACCCAAATGGCCATCCACGGTTGAGTGAATAAACAAAATCTGGTATATCCATACAATGGACTATTATTCCACTATAAAAAGCAAAATACTGATTCTTGCCACACCCATAGGCACCAGGTGGGAACCTTGAAAACCTCTTGCTCAGTGAAAAAGTCAGACACAAAAGGCCACATTCATAATCTTATTTACATGAAATGTCAAGAATAGACAAGCCTCAAGACACGTAAAATAGATGAGAGGTTGCCTAAAGCTGGTGGGATGGGAGGCTTGGGGCATGAGTTGGGAGGTGAGGCCTGAGAGGTGTGGAAGAGTTGGTTTTTTTTTTGGCAGGGGGAGGCCGTGAAAACGTTCTAAAATTAATTGTGGTGATGGATGCTCAAATTTGAATGAATACTGAGGCTGAATAATAATTTGAATAACTGAGGCTGAACCCAGCACTTTAAGTGGTTGAGTTGTATGGTTTGTGATTATAGCTCACTAAAGCTGGTATATAAAAGGGGAAAGTTTGAAAATAACAAAAGCCCCAGTAGAACACACCTGCTTTTCTTCCTGGTGCTTCGGTGATGCCTCCTCATTGCCTGTAGGGTGGGGGAGAGGTTCTTTTCTATAATCACATCATCTGTGGTTGGACCGTAACTGCATAGTCCACTGCTTTTTTTGTTTTTTAAATATTTATGCATACAAGAACTGGGGTGCAGGTCAGAGGTGTGTGGGGAGTGAGAGGAGTCACCAGAGACAGAGCGGGGAACAGAACATGCAGACTGAAGAAATACACTGCTGAGGGGAGCAGCAGGTGAGACAGGAGAGGTCTGCTGCGCCATGTAGGTCACCTCTCTTGCAGGGGATCGAACTTGTGCTGCAGCAGTTGTGGACAGCTTCACAGCGCTGAGACTTAACCCTTTGCACCACCAAGGAGGCCCAGTCCACAGCTTTTTAAGATTACATTTTGTTTTTGGTTTTTATTGCTATGCCGTCATTATTTATGAATTTTGATTAGTGAGAAGGTGGTTTTGGAGATAAAATAACTCTGACTCAGTGGCAAGTCAGCTATTTTCCCCATATTGGGTTCAGATGGATTATACTCGCTTCACTTACCCCCTCTTCTCTGTAAAGGTTTGGGGAATAGAGTTTTGAGCAGCCTGTTTGTTGCAGTCCTGACTTTCATTATCAGGTGTGATGATTCTGTTCCAGGGCAGGGAGAGGAGCACCCCAGACCCCCCAAACCTGCCTGCTCTAAATGGGTTCTGCCATCCCCCACATCAACACAAAACATGAGACTTTAATGGGAAGGAACTTTCATACAACTAGGAAACAATACAGGAAAGGCACAGAATATAGCTTCTAAATCAAGGACCCAAAGTTATCCATCCCCTCGTGGGTAAAAGTCCACCCAAATGGGATTGGCCCAGAGCAAGGCCCCAAAGCCTGTCACAGTCTAAAGCACCTTCCGGTGGGGACCCACAGAAAAGGAGCAGAAACAACCAAACAAGTCTGGAGGGAAAAGAGCAAAATTAAAATAAACACAAACCCACCATGGTCCCCTCCCCACGGGTCTCACCCACATCTGTGTCACCCCGTCCACGACCAAAAGGCAAGCGCAGTTTCTTCACGTGTCTCTCGGCTCCATGTGCCTCCCCCAGGTCTCCTTCTGGCTCCATCCTGCTTCCTTCCTGCCTCAGTCTCCTCTGCAGCTTCTCCTCTCTCTTTTTGGATGTGGCAGGAAACCTGGACTCTCCCTCTTTCCTGAGGACCACCCTGTTACAATTTGACTTCCTGCCCTGCTTCCCACTGAATTAAAGGCTAATGAATAAGAGAGAATATTAAAAACTCAGCAATACTGAAAAAAACCTAACCAATCTGGAGTTCTGTGTGCTCATCTTTAAAAGAAGTGAAAGGAAAAATAAAGAGGTGGCAAAGCTCTAGAGGGAGGGAATTAGGTATGGTTGGGACCCTAATCAGACTGTCTCCAAGAGAAAACTGGAGTAAGTGTATATAGTGTATATAGTGTTACTGTTTCAGGACAGGGTGAGGGGCACCCCAGAACCCCCAAGCCTGTCTGCTCTAAGTAGGTTCTGCCATCTGCCACATCAAGGCAAACATAATCTAATGCGTAAGGAAGGTTAATACAATGAGTGTGCAATAGAGAGAAAAGTAGGGAAAGAATATAAACTAGTTTCCACATGAAACACCCAAGTTTACCCATCCACTCATGGGTAGATGCCCAGCCAAACAGGGTTGACCCGAAGCAGGGCAGCTGAGGCCCAAAAGCCTGCCCCAAATCTAAGGCACCTTCTGGTCAGGACCCATAGGGAAGGGACTGAAGGCGTCAGGCAAGTCTGGAAGGAAAGAAGCAAAATCAAAACCCAAGTAAGATAAAGGCTGCCACTGTCAGCCTCCCCACGGGTCTCTCACCCACGTCTCTGTGTCTTTCAAGTGTCTCTTTCCATGTCCCCCAAGTCCCTGGTGCAAGTCCAAGGCTGAGAAGCAAGCGCAGCTTCTTCACATGTCTCTGCTCCATGTGCCTCCTCCAGGTCTTCTCAACCCTTCCTTGTTCTCTCCAGCTTCTCCCTGCTCAGCTCCACCCTCCCTTGGGTGGGACAAGGAACCTGGAACCTCCCTCTCCCTGGAGATTACCCTGTTACATTACTATCAGTTTATACGTGGTACCTGGGTTGTAGCTCTATTGATTGTGGGGGGCAATAACAAAGGATAGTTCAATATGTGGCTTTTGGGCTTAGAGATTTGAGTTAAAATAGAAATATTCTTACAGCAGCGAGATGCAGGTGCTGGCACATTCCCTGGATGAGCTGCTCACAGGCACAGAATACCGAAGCCAAGTCCCAGCGAGCAGATTTTCAGCGGAGGCAGGGCTGGGTTGGAGGGCACTGGTGCTGCCAGCTCGGGGGACAGATATCACGGAGGAGGGGTAACGGTGAAAATAGGAAGGCATTTTATCACTAGTTTGAGACATCTTTCCCTCCCTCTGCATACCTCCTACCAAGATGCTGGGAGCAACAGCTACAGCCTTGGCCTGAGCACCTGAGTTGATGTACCGCCTCGTTCCTCCTGCCTCTGCCTTTCTCCAGCAAGGGGTGCATTTGCACCAGCAGCCCCACGGTTCAGAGTTCCATAGACAGAGCCTGAGGACATTAAACAAAAGCCACGGATGATGTGTCCTGATGATTTACAATCTTTACTGTTAAGACTCCAAGGGGGAGGCCTCAAGTTAAGGTCTCCACAATTTAATCAGGGGGAAAAGAGAACAGGATCAAGGCTCAGCTAACTGAACCTTGAGTGCTTTTGCCCCAGCTGTCCTGTGCTTCCCAAGCAGGTCCAGAGTGGATCTATGGATCTATTTGATCAAGGTGAACAGAAGGGCCCTGTGCTGTCTCCAGAACAGGCGAATGGTGGCGCAGGGGCTGACTTCCCAGACAGCTGTTCATGTTCTGCCTCCTGGTTTATTTTCTACAGCACATAGCCGTGAGCTCGGGCAGTGGGAAGAACGATCTGGAGAAGATGAGCAGCATCCTGGAAGCTGTGCCACAGGTCAAGTTTATTTGCCTGGATGTGGCCAATGGGTATTCAGAGCATTTTGTGGAATTCGTGAAACTCGTCCGTGCCAAATTTCCAGAACACACTATTATGGTAGGTATGGTGGGGGAGGTAGGTATTTGCTATGGTAGGTATTTGTTCCCCTGAAATGAGGGAGCAAAGAGTGTTGTTCAGTGTTGGGGACACTATATTCTCTCTCTCGGTTGCTCGCTCTCTTTTTTTTTTTTTTTTTTTTTTGCATAGAAGAACTGAGGTGTAAGCCAGAGGTGTTGGGGGGTGAGAGGATTCACCAGAGACAGAGTGGGGAGCAGAACAGGCAGACTGACTGAAATACACTGTTGAGGGGAGCAGCAGGTGAGACAGGAGAGGTCTGCTGCGCCATGTGGGTCAGGGATCAAACTGGTCAGGGATCAAACTCAGGCCCTTGAGGTGGTAGCGCTGAGACTTAACCCTTAGGCTACCAGGAAGGCTAGGGATTATATTCTCTTTCGAGCCTTCTTTTTTAAAAAAAAAAAAAAAAAAAAGATTTATTTATTTATGCATACGAGAACTGGGGTGCAGGCCAGAAGTGTGGGGGGTGAGAGGATTCACCAGAGACAGAGTGGGGAGTAGAACAGGCAGACTGACTGAAATACACTGCTGAGGGGAGCAGCGGGCGAGACAGGAGAGGTCTGCTGCACCATGTGGGTAGCTCCCTGGTCGGCCAGGGATCGAACTCGTGCTGCAGAGGGTGCGGATTGCTTCATAGTGCGGTGCTTAACCCCTTGCGCCACCAGGGAGGCCCCTGAAGTCTTTTTATTCAGACAGTAGTGGAGAATCATTAGATAAAGGGTAGCCAGCAGTGCGAGGAAGGTGAAAACTGCCTCGTCTTAAAAAATAAAGTTCAAGTGTTGGCTCCTTCGCTCTGCTAAATATCATCAAATGTTTCTTTACTATGTGGTACTTTTCAAAAAGGTCTTTGTCACTCATTAACAAAGTGCTTTTTAAAAAATGAAAACATAGAACTGAATTTCTGTTTAACACGTTATGTCATCAACACCCACTACTGTTTGCCAATAGAAAAGTTATGTAAGAGTTGAAATCTCCATTATGGACATTTTGCAATAATTAACTATTTTTTTCAAATCACTTCAGGTGGTGTTTCCTTTAGAATTTTTGTTTCTTGACTTTTTCCTGCCTTTTTCTGAATTTCCCTAATTATTAACTAACCTCAATTGTCTGGTATTGTTGGGAAGGTGGATTTACAGAAGAAGGGAGTAGAAGCTCTGGGGTAAATCTGCACTTCTAGAAAATCTATACTGTAATTATGCGTGTCTTTCCTGCTCTTAGTTAACATGGCAATTATAGATTATCTACTAGAGCTTTTTCCTTTTTTTTGCATTTTGAACTTTATTTCTCTTCAATTTCATCTTGTAAGGGAGCTGGGAGAGAGGAATTATTTCTGTTCATAAATGAAATCTTCTGTTAAAGGATTCCCATGGTTTTGAAAGGTATTTTCATGCTTTCCAGAGAAGCATGAGAAGAAAGGATCAGGGGTTGGGCTGGGGTCTGCCAGCCCTACCAGCATCAGAAGCTGGGTGGGAAACAGTGGAGTTCATGTTACCCTCCAGTGTTGCCAATGGCATTGGCTCTGTCCTCTTTACAGCATCTCTATAAAGAGTAGGATCTGTTGTCCCGAATGTACCAGTGAGAACTTTTGCTCTTCTGCTTCGGCATTTTTACAGTCACATCAACAGTAGCAGCAAAGCTGGGTTTTGAAGCTAGGTTGGCTGATTGCAAAGTCCAAGCTCTGCCCTTGGCTTCTTGTTAACATAACCCAGCCTGCCCTTGTTAACTTTGGCGATAAATTCCCTTTTTTCACTAGGTGATAAGTGTGTGACCAGCAAGCACCCTGCTTCCCACTTCTGAGGTGTGGAGGTTGACTTTGGGACTTGTGCTGGAGGGTGATGAGCCTACCCTTTCTCATGACCCCATGATGGGTAGGTGAGACCCCAGTTGCCCCCTACTTCTGGGATAAGTTTTTAGTTGGGACATGGGAAAGAGGGAACAGAAGGGTGGGCTCCAGTGAGACCAGAGCCGGAGCCCACCAGTCCAGAAACAGCATTTGACATTAACAAATCCCGGGGGACAACAGTAGGCTGGTAGAGCGTGTGACAGGTGCCTGCTTAGGCCTCCAGGAGAGTAGGAATAAGCCGGGTCGCTGTTGACATTGTGTCTTATCCAAGGTGGTGGATCCAGAGCATTCCTGTTCACCTGCTTTAACTGCTCCGAGGACCGAGAAATGTGAAAAGCTGTGCTTTACATGTACCAGCATTTTAGGGTGTAAGAGTTAGTTATGAAGGTTGAGCATCATAAAATTATGCTTATTTAATGAGCAACTCAGTGACTGCTTTTTCCTTTAGTAATTCATTTATTAACTTGTCAGATGGGAGGTCCAGAAAAGTGATGTAACATGGGTGTTTAATAAACAGTCGTAACATAAGCAGCCCTTCCGTGGACATGCACTCAGGTGCCCCTTCTTCACCTCACACGAAAACCCCCGGCACTGGAAGTCAGTCCTTCCTGGGTGTCTGGTTCTACCTCCTACCTGTGCAGTCCTCGGTAACACCATTTCATTTTGCCTGATGACCTTATACATGTGGTAATTCTACTGCTTTTTTTTTTTTTTTTTTTAAAGATTTATTTATTTATTTTACCCAAGAATTGGGGTACAGTCAGAAGCGCGGGAGGGTGAGAGGATTCACCAGAGCCAGAATGGGGAACAGAACAGGCAGACTGATGAAGTACACTGCTGAGGGGAGCAGCGGGTGCGACAGGAGAGGTCTGCGCGCCATGTGGGACCCTCGCCGGCCGGCCAGGATTGAACCGGCGCTACAGAGGCTGCAGACAGCTTCACAGCCTGGAGCTCAACTGCCTGCGCCACCAGGGGAGGCCCTCTACTGCTTATCTTAACATCATCTTTTGCTCTGCAGTATGTTGAGCTCCACCCACATACAGGGTACAGTGTTTCCTTGTTTCTGGAGCTCATTTTAACCCCGACTTCCAGATGCCACATGTGCCTTTCTCTCCTTGTTCTACTTTCCCTCTAATTGTAAGGCCATGAAAATTGCCACCTGGGCTGGTGCCCTGTGGGGGAGCCCTGTGCCTTCTGCACCTCATTTTCCTCACCTGTGCAAAGGAGTTTTGAAGACAGAAATGACTGGAGGACAGTGGAGGGATCAGATGGGGTGATGTTTTGGGGAGTTCAGTGTTCCCAAATGGTCGTTTGACAGTAGTGATGAGGGCATGTGCTGAGAAATGAGGTAGAAGAGCGTGGGGAGGGATGGAGTGTTGTTTTTGTTTGTTTGAAGAAGTTGGAGGAAACAGGTCCCACCTCTTTCCCAGGGATAATGACAGCAGAGGCCCAGTGGAGCCCGGAGCTTAGCATGGCTGGCTTTAAACGGTTGGCTGCAGTTCTAGCTCAGAGCAGCCCTGGAGAGCTGCCTGCTTCCTGTTGTGTAGACTTGAGAGCCTGTGTTCCACCGCCAGGGACAAAGCCCGGGGTGGAGAGGGCAGTGTAGGGGGAGGCAGGCAGGACATGGTCATTGCCAGTGCAGAGCCGGGAGGTGGCAGGGTGATGAGGCGGTGAGGGTAGTTTGCCACAGAGTTCCCACTGCCCTCAGGACAGCCACCAACAGGAAGTTCTCTCTAGCCCTGGCTGGCAGGCTCAGGGATGTGTTTGCATCATTTCTGTTGGTTTCCCCAGCAACAAACAGGAGACTTTTGGCAAGGTAGATGTTTATTCCTAAGTCATCCTCTACCTGCATTTACCCTTGCAATCTGGATTCATTGAGAAACTTCCATGCTCTTACCCACTTGGTTTCAGGAAATATTCTTTCTCTCATAGCTTTTGTAGCCATTGTGAGACTGCATTATCATTTGGCCAAAGTATTAGAGCTGAAAAGTACATGGTACAGTACTGATTATTACTGCCATCGTGACAATGCAATGGCCAGAAAGGGTGTCGGGAACACTGCTGGTTGAACTGGCAGCACTGGGCCTCTGCAGCCGGAGCTGGCAGTGCCCGGTGCATCCTGCATTCACCTAAGCAAGCCTTGCCACATGCAGGGAGGGAGGAAGCAGGGACTGCTTTGGCAGGAAAGGGTCCTGTAAAGGTGCTGCCCTGGCCATATGCCTGGTGGATGGAGAAGAAGGTATTCTAGTATGTTCTAGGTACTGTGGGAAAAAGCACCAACATGGATGATGCATTTCTCTTAATAACAAATCTTTGAGTGTGGATAATAGCATCTACTGTTATTATAGTCTCAGAGAGATCAAGGAATTTTTCTAAGATTACACAGCCAGTAAGAGGTGGGCCTGGGGCTCAGAGCCAGGCCATCTGCCCCTAGGGCCTGCGGACTTGGAACTGATGGCTCCTGTGTTGGTTCTGGGGAAGACTTTGGTGCAGGTGGCTCTTTGAGGTCTGTCCTGGGCGGGTAAGTCTGTGACAGCTGATCTGTTCAGATTAGACTGCAGACGCAGCTCCTTGCAGGTGTTCGCAGAGAGAACTTTACTAAGAATAGGGACTTGACCTCTCAGGCCCAGTGACCTGCATTTCCTGTTTTCTTCCTCTTTCTGGAATTGGTGTGAACTGGACTTGTGGCTAGAAGCCACATTGGGCCACAGATTCAGGTCATTTCTCTGAGAGTCACATAGTAAATTCAGTTTAAAGTGCTAGAAAGGGTGGCTGTTGCTTTGCAGCTTCTATTTGGTTCCACTGCTCGGTGGAGGGACCTTTTCCATGTGTGTGGAATGTTCCATCACCTTATAGACAGAGTTACTGTTTCACAGGTGCAGAATCCAGTTTGGGGTGACTGGAGGGCTCTGGAGACGCCTGGTACACGGCTGCCCTGGTGAAAAGGCCCTCGCTGCCACTAACTCGTGTACTTAAAGATAGTTAAAATGGCACATTTTATGTTATGCATAATTGACTACAATTTAAAAAGCTCAAAAAAAAAAAAAAGGTAGACTAGAAGTCACTCTTAAGTGGAGGGACTCACGTACTGAGTACACCGACTGAGAGCTGGGCACTGTGCTGAGAATTTTATAAACCTTTCTTTGTAAGCTTTACAATGATAATAACAGAAGATGGTGTTGAGCCCCTATTTTATAGTAGGATAAACTGAGGGTCAGAATGGAAGTGATTGCTTAAAATTACATTAGAAGTGAAAGTTTCAGCATTTGATCCCAGGTCTTTCTGCATGTTTTTCCTGAACTTTCTTACACTTTTTGCCATAGTCTAAAGGAAAACTGGAAAAATTGGGGAAACACTTTTGGTTTTGGAATTACCCTGAAGGACTGAAAAATGGTTTTTTCCAGAACTTGGGATCTTGTGTGGTGGCTTGTTTGTCTTTCCCAAGTGGCTCACATCAGGGAGGAGCAGTCCTAACCCAGGGCACAGAGAGGAACTTGGGCAGTGCTCAGCCTCTCTGGGGTGGGGGTACCCCGACAAGGGGCCTCACTTCTATGGCAGCTGCCCCAGGATGGCGGGGCGTGAACAGCCCAGTGACTGAGCGGGACGTGCTGCTTTGTGCCGTCCCAGCCTGACAATCTAGTATCCGCTGTACACAGGAGGTGCCTCAGGCCTAGATAAGCCAACTCCTCACTAATCACCCCAGACCAGTACCCCCACCCCCCAACATCACCCCAAGCCTGGAGGCCCAGGGGGCCAGGGCTTTCATAGAGCTGACCACACTCCTGTTGCTCTCCTCAGTTCTAATTTTGTCTTTTCCTTTTACCCCTTATTTTGGTCTTTCTTGCTTTCAAAGTTGAATAGACAACTTTGTTCCTGCAAATAGACACAGTCATCCTCTGCCTGTGGCCAGCGTTCCTGAGTTGTCTTCATGCCCGAGATATTTCATAACCACTGGGGTTTTTCCACATGGCAGCCCTCTCTGCAGTGACTGAGCTCAACCTCCAGTTAAGGAGGCGCACAGTTGCTGAAGGGAGGGTTCATCCCATAGAAGCCTCTACCCCCCCGAACAGCATCACCTTCCTTCATGCTATTAAATTCACTTTGACACATAAGGATGTGCCTGCCACGTGTCACCAGCCAATTGAGTGAGTTTGTTTTGCCTCATGTAGGCCCTTGAAAATAAAATGGTTGTAGAAGGCCCCAGATAGGGGGGAGAAAATCCTATCTATGAAAATGATGCTATGCAGGATGCTTAGAGTCACCTTTTTAAGCTTTTCATTAATTATTTTCATTTTTAGTTTTAGATTTTGGCATGTCAACCGGTCAGGAGGAGTAAAAGCTCAGAGTCTTATCTCTCAGGCACCTATGAAGTTCTTTTCCAGGTATAGAGCTTATGCTGGACCTTCTTCCATTGAATTATTTAAACTTCATGTGCTTTCTATGGTTATAATCCAGACAATTGTAAAGAAGAAAATGAACACAAGTCAGATAATTCCTTCGCGTAGACACAATTTGTTAGCATTTTAGTGAATGTTTTCATATATACATGTTTGTTTTTTTAAACATAGTTGGTTTTGTTCTGTTTCCTTCTGTTTCCACTAACATTTTACAAAAAGCATTTAAGCCGTGACACTGGACTTAAAATCTCACATGAATGGGGGATGGATTTTGTTGAACCATTTTCATCTGGGAAAATATATTTGCAGTTTTACTCTGTTGTACACAGAGATCAAGTACATCTTGATCGCTAAAGCCCTTGACCTCATCTACGATTATGTCCTTGGGAGAGAATTCTAGAAGTAGGCTTATTGGATCTAAGGGTGTACATATTTGCATTTGCTCTATATGGACTAATTGCTTTCTAGGAGAACTAGAAATTGGTATGAAATTGGTATGAAATTGACATTCTTCTGGCAGAGTCTTCCCTTTAGCATATAATGTTTACAATCACTGATAATCTGTGAATTGAAAATCACTGATAATTTAAACTTGAACATTAGGTTGAACACATTCCTTTTTTTATTTTTAAGTCAACATTTTTCTTTTATTGGTTTGTTCATATCTTTTGGCAATTGTTCTGTGAGATGTTAGCACTTTTCTTGTAGATTTGGAAAAGGTCTTAATGTTGTATGAAACCCCTCTCATCAATGTAGATATTCTTCCTTACCTTCCAATCTGGTCAATTTTGGTGCCTATACGAATGTAGGTAATTTATATTATTATTTTACTTTTATGCTATAAGTCGTCAAAGTTTCCTTAATTTAGGAAGTTCCAATTTTTGTTTAATTCTTTAATCTTCATAAAGTTCATTTTGGTAAGAGGTATAATAATCTGTATCCTGTTTCCAAATGATCTCTTTTCCCTACACTTGCTGTTGAAATATTATCCCCTTCCTTCTGTCTTTATCATTTACTGCATTTTCGTACATTCTAATCCTCTTTCTAGGTCGTCTACCATTTTCTTTTTTTTTTTTTTTTAAATATTTATTTATTTATTTATACAAGAACCGGGGTACAGGCCAGATGAACGGTAGGGTGAGAGGATTCACCAGAGACAGAGTGGGGAGCAGAACAGGCAGACTGATGAAATACACTGCTGAGGGGAGCAGCGGGCGAGACAGGAGAGGTCTGCTGCGCCATGTGGGACCCTTGCTGGCTGGCCGGGGTCGAACTGGCATTGCAGAGGCTGCGGACAGCTTCACAGCGCTGCTCTCAACCCCCTGCACCACTGGGGGAGGCCCCCGTCTACCATTTTCCATTGTCAGAGGCTATTTGGGTTAAAGTATCCCTCCTCACCACCCTTTTCTAAGATCCTTTTATATAAAACTAGCAGTCACTTGTCTAGGTTAAAAAAAGAAGAATTTCCTCTGGGAAATAATTCAGCGAAAAGACACTGGGGCTTCAATGCAAGAAATGAGTAGAATGAGCAGGGATGCACTTCCCCAGAGAAGGCTTTGCACAGTTGTGAAAATTGAATCCGGCATCTTGCCAAGTATTCTACATGCCAGCTGAAAAATCCACAGGGCAGTGAGTAGTCATACAGGAACAATTTTTGCACTCCCAGACGCCTGCAGGGAAGGAACTTGTACTATTTCCAAACCAGATGCAGCCTTCTGGTTTTTAGACCCCACTGCTTCCTGATCACATGTTTATTCTTAGGGCTACACAGCTTCATGGTTTGAAATTCATTGAGTGCTGAGCCCATTCAGTGCTGCTGACCCATAAGCTCCTCTGCCCTCCTGGGTCTAGATGAGGACACCCAGGTATTTCCCCAGCTGTGGGATGCACAGCCCTGGGCCCTGGGCCCTGGGGGTTCCATGAAGTTCTTCAGGGTTTTACAATCTGTGAAGCATTTCATGCTGAACAATAAATATTTTTATCAGCATGAAATAATCATGCTTATTTTATGTATTTGGGTCCTCTGTAAGATGCTGGCTTATCTATCAGTGAAACATACAAAAGACCCGACCTAGAATATTCCCAGGTCTCTTCTAGCCCAAAAGTCATAGAGTCCTTTACTTTTTCATGCTACCATTTCACCCAAATGTGCTTTCAGGTGTCAAATTCTCTATTGTTCTTCAGTAGAGAAGGAAGCCAGGAGACCTTCCCAGCCCATCAATTTCAAACTGCAAATACTGCAAATCAACTCACTGGGTCCATATTTTTCCTCTCTTTACCTCCATTCTTTTCTGGGTATTCATGTGAGTGCCTTACATGAATCTTTGTGCCACCAGCAAGAGTTCGTGACTGAGCTGTGTTCTTTCTTCCTCAGGCAGGGAACGTGGTGACAGGCGAGATGGTGGAAGAGCTGATTCTTTCTGGAGCAGATATAATCAAAGTGGGAGTTGGGCCTGGTAAGACTTGCTGGAAGCACAGTAGAGGGGGTGTGGGATGGGGGATGGGGCCTGGGGCTCAGGGGCTGGTCCAGAGTATCAGAAGGGACGCATGAGGATGCAGATCCTCAATTTTAAAGCACTTTCTTCCGGGAGTATCATTGAACTTCAGAAGTTCCTGATCAGAAATGTCTTTGACTTGCTCAGATGTGCTTGGGTGTGGTTAGAATGTTAGGTCCTGGCCTCAGAACATTAATATGGAAGAAAAGAATGCAGATTCGTTTATGATCCCATACCGCTCTAAGAGGAAGGTGAGGGGTGAAGAACCAGTGGAGCAATTAACTGATATGAATGATGCAAGTATTTGTGAATGTCTGAGCAACTTTCAAAAGTACAAATGAGATGTGCTGTTTTGAGGCCACGTTTGCACTTAACCCAGGACCCAGGCAGCTGTCACCTTTGGCTCCACACCTGATGTGTCTGTCACAGATTTTTCCCCTGTCCTTTTAGGTATTCTCAGAACTGCCCATTGGCATTTTGAGTGGAAGACCAAGGCAGAGCCTTTGGCCTTATGCTGGGTGGCTCCATCTCTCTTGCATTCAGTTGGTGGTCACTTTACCTGTGTCCAGGTGTGAGCATGAGTGTCCATGTTTTTAAATTCTTCATTGCCATGGGGTTTTTTTTTTTTTCCGTAGAAGAACTGGGGTATAGGCCAGAGGTGCAGGAGGTGAGAGGATCCACCAGAGACAGAGTGGGGAGCAGAGCAGGCAGATGTACAGAAATGCACTGCTGAGGGGAGCAGCGGGCGATACAGGAGAGGTCTGCTGTGCCATATGTGGGTAGCTCCCTGGCTGGGGATCGAACTCAGGCCTTAGCAGTGACAGCACTGAGACTTAACCCCTAGGCCACTGCACCAGGGAGTCCCTTCATTGCCATGTTTGAACATTCTCCCTTGCGCATCCATTATTAGCCAAACACTAAAACTGGAGAGAAAGATAGAAGACCTCCAATTTCACTTGGGAATAAAAAATCAGCAAAGATTAAAAAAATATCATCCACTCCAAGGACACCACCAAAAAAGGAAACAGAACCGATACGGAAAGAGTCTGGGAAAGCACTGCTGCGAGGCGGGAGAACGCCGCTGTGTCGAGTTAATCAGTCCTGAGGGAACACACTGTCTATGGAGGGCCTTTGGGAGGAGCAGCTCTGGAGTCTCATGCCAGCTCCTGAGCTTTTAACATACGGGGAGATTTTCTTTTTTTTAAAAAAAGATTTATTTATTTATTTATTCAAGCACTGGGTACAGTCAGAAGCGCTGGAGGGCGAGAGAATTCACCAGAGCCAGAGCGGGGAGCAGAACAGGCAGACTGATGAAGTACACTGCTGAGGGGAGCAGCGGGCACGGCAGGAGAGGTCTGTCACGCCATGTGGGACCCTTGCCGGGGCAGCCGGGGATCAAACCGGCAGCTTCGCAGCCCAGCGCTCAACCGCTGCACCACCAGGGGAGGCCCTGGGTAGATTTTCAAGATGGAGCTTTTATATTGCTGCTTCCTAGGTCATTCCATAACATATTCTCAGCAAGAGGAAAATCACTTCTTCCCTGAGTGGCTGTTACGACTGAAAAGTTGAAGAAAGGCTGAGGTCCAGTTCTTACTTGCAAGGAGCTTCCACTTAGCATAGACTGTAAGACTGTAATAAACTGGCTTCCCCCAAGTTTCGGCTAGTAATAGACCAGGAAGGCTTGTGTCCCAATGCGGGGGCACTCACCACCTGTTGTGGTGGGCAGGGGTCTGGGTTAGCTTGGCCAAACTGCCGTGAGTTCTGCTTGCTGCTTCGTGCTGGATGGGGCCTGTGCAGGACCGGAGGGTATGTGAGCAATCTTGTGGGGCTCTAGAATTTGGCCACACAGCCCCCACGTGTATGTTCTGTGTCCCCAGCAGACTTAATATGCCCTGTTGCCCCTTTGGGCTACCTGTTTAGGACACTTTTGACTAACGGGAATGATGGGCTTTTTTTTTTTTTAAAGATTTATTTATGCATACAAGAACTGGGGTGTAGGCCAGAGGTGTGGGGGGTGAGAGAATTCACCGGAGACAGAGTGGGGAGCAGAACAGGCAGATCGACCGAAATACACTGCTGAGGGGAGCATCGGGCAAGTCGGGAGAGGCCTGCTGCACCATGTGGGTAACTCCCTGGCCGGGCATCAAACTCATGCTTCAATGGCTGACGTAGTGCTGTGTCTTAACCCCTTGCACCACAAGGGAGGCCCAGAGTGATGGGCTTTCTTCAAGCCTGATGTATTGGAGCCACTTCTTTAAATTGGTTGGAGATGATGTTTAAGTTTCACAGATTGGCGACAAATACCAGGTGTTCTGTATCTAAATGATATCATCAAAAAGGGGTCGTTATTGAGCAACCCCTGGGAACTGGGAAAACGCATTAAAAATGGGCACCCCTGCCCCTCTAAAGGAGCAAAAATATGTACTTGATTTCAACTGTTGGCCTGGGGTTAACTGACACCATTCCCCTGCCTCTTTGGAAACATCTTCCTTGGCTGTTTCCAAGGAAGGCAGTTGACCTGGCCTTTGAAGGCCCCCCTAGTGCAGACGGCGGCGTGCCCTCCTTGAGGAGATGTCAGTTGAGTGGGAAGGAAGGAGAAGAGCCAATTCTGAATCCAAGATGATAAAACTCCAACTCCGCCTCGCACAGTGCACGTCAGGTTGCTGGGGCCTGTTACAGCCATATGCAGGACGTGGGTCCCCTGGTTTCTGCTTTCCCTGCTGAAGTCAGGCTTAGGTGATTGGATCCTGTCCCTAATGACCCGTGGGAGAATGTACCGGAAGGTGTGATGTCACTAGAGCTAGCAGGGAGCTGCAGAGGAGGCCTGGCTGCAGCGCCTCACCCCCAGCTGTGGCAGGCAAAGCAGGAGTTCACGCCCAGCTTTCACACTGGCCCCGGGGTGTCCCTGAATCCACACCATTAGCCATCTAGGAGCTACTGAATCAGGGGCGAGGCAGTAGAGACAGGCATGAGGGTGACTCATTCATTCTTGAGCTCATGCATTCTTCCAGTGACTATTTATGGGGCCTTATATGTACGCGGCTCTTTTCTCAGCGCCCGATCCACAACAATGACTATCCACAGCGCTTACCATCCAGCAGAGAAAACAGATCCTCGTTCCTACACAAATAATTATTTGAGTGCCTCTCTTTGAAATGAGCGCTGCGACGAACAGCTTCCCTGAGGCAGTGACATTTCAGATGAAACCTGAAAGATGAGAGGGGTTGGCGAGACTAGGGGGTCGGTCCAGAGGGGGATGTTAGGACAGAGAGAACATCATGTACAGAGAGTCCCTAAGGTGGGAAGACTTGTTCTGCTGGAGGAGCCGAAAGGTCACTGTGGCTGGAGGGTGGTGGGCAGGAGGGAGGCAGGTGGGCCGTGAGGAGCTAGATCCTGGGGTCCTGGTGAGCAGGGATGCTCACTTGAGCAAGGGTGAGACTTGAGCAGGGGGACACACTAGCCCCTTGGGACTTGCCTGCCCCTAACTGGGATGATGCTGTGCAGATGGTCAACCAGGAAGATTTGACCTTGGGGAAGCAGAGGTCAGGAGACTCTAGGTGTGTAGGTGGCTGGTGTGAGCTCTGAAATGGAAGCTGATCTCAGAGTCCAGACTGGACCGGGACCCTAGGAGATCAGTGTTTTGTTTCCATTCAGCAGATGAGGCCATGAGGCTTAGTTGGTTAGGAATCTGATAATATCAAAATTCCCTCCCCTCCCTGGCCTTCCGCGTACCCCTCTCTGATGGTGCCAGAGGCTGCTGGTGTAGCATGTTCTGCTCATTCATAACCTTTGCTCTGGTGTCCATTCTGCCCTCCCTTAGGTTCCGTGTGCACCACCCGCACCAAGACCGGGGTGGGCTACCCCCAGCTGAGCGCCGTGATCGAGTGCGCGGACTCTGCCCATGGCCTCAAGGGGCACATCATCTCTGTAAGTCTCTGTTGGGGCTGGGGGTGGATCTGGGCTGCTGTTCAGGGGACTGCAGCATGGCCCTTGACCCCCAGTGCTGAGGGAACCCTGCTTCCCAGCTGGGTATCCTCTGGGCTTGGGAGTGAGTGGGCAGCACCATGCAGCCGTGACATTCAGCAGAGACACGGGCTCTACTCCCAGCATCCTCTGCAGCGAGGGGGGCAGCACTTTGGAGTAGTAGTAGTTGGGGGAGTAGTGCAGTAGGGGAAGAGGGGAGAGCAGAGACAACAAGAGGACCATGTGTGAGTTTGCTAGGGCTCCCTGACAAAGCGTCCGAAACCGGTGGCTTAAACAAGAGAAATTTACCGTCTCATTTCTGGAGCCAGAAGTCAGAAATCGAGGTGTTAGCGGGACCATGGAGGCTCTGGGATGTCCAGGCTTCTGGCATTTACTGGGCTTGTGGTACCAGAATTCCAGTTTCCACGTGTCCTGGTATCTGTCTTTGTGTCCACATTTCTCATTTTCATAAGAACACGAGGCATTAGATTAGGCACCCCTGTACTCCAGGGCAGCCTGTGGTGTGCCAGGTGTCACCAGCTGGTTGCTCTGAGTAGATTCAGTGGCCATTTGGGGGAGAATTTACATCCTGTGACTTGAGAGATGTGTGGGAAGGAGATGAGCAGAGGCAGAGATGAGGACCTAACAATGCTTTCAAGAAGCTCTTGGATGAGCGGAACCACAGCCCCTGTCTTGTACTGAGGGTTGAATGAATGAAGGTCAAGTTAAAGCCTCTCACCAGCTTATCCATGCTTCTGCTCCAGCTGCATTGACACGACTACCATTCAAACCATTGCAGAGACTCCTCACCTCTGTCCCATTCTAGATGAGATGCTCAGAACAGGACAGACCATGTTGGCCGTAATTGAATAGAACTATTCAGCTTCCCCTTAATATGGATGAAATCCTGAATTAGTGGCAGCTTTTTAAGGGTCTTGGAACAGTGTGGACTCATTTGAATAAATCAAATCTTCAGACCTTTTCACTTGGACAATTGCTAAACTCAGTTCCCACATTAAAGAATTGATAGGTGAGAAGAGCGCTGGGACGCCCCGAGGTCATCACCTCAGGAGATTTTTTAAGTGTGATATGAAACCGCTGCCATCCAGGGAGGGCCTGGGAAGATCTTAGAATATTGTCATATGTCCTTGGGCAGCTTCTAGGAGCAAGGAAGGCAAACAGAATGTATACTGATGGGAGAAGAGACGGTGGGACTAGAAGACACTTACAAGCTAAGAAATATCTGGAGGATATGGAGAGAGAAATCACTGCACCTTCCAAGATGATTCTGAACAACCACTCAAACTATTCTTTAATGCCCAGAAATGTATGGCTTCTTCTACTTAATCCATTTCTTCTATACAACGTGAAGAAAACAAGTGCAAAGGATAGACTAAGGTCATGGACTACAGGTGCTTTGCTGGTTTCTAAATTCCTGCTATGAGTGAGACCATCCAGTGTTTTTCATCTTCTTTCTGGCTTATTTCGCTGAGCATGATCCCTTCCAGCGCCATCCATGTTGCTGCAAATGGCATGTGTTGATCTTTTTTGAATGCTGAGTAATATTCCATGGTGTATATGGACCACATCTTCTTGATCCAGTCATCTATTTTTGGGCATTTGGGTTGTTTCCAAAGCTTAGGTATTGTAAACAGTGCTGCTATAAACATAGGGGTGCAGGTGCTCTTTGGAATGGATGTTTCTGTGTCCTTTGGGTAAATACCTAGGAGTGGAATTGCTGGATCATATGGCAGCTCTATGTTTAGTAGGTCCAGAAACCTCCACACAGCTCTCCATAGTGGTTGGACCAGTTTGCACTCCCACCAACAGTGCAGGAGAGTTCCTTTTTTCCCATACCCTCGCCAACATTTGTTGTTGCTAGTTTTTTTAATATGTGCCATTCTCACTGGTGTGAGATGGTATCTCATGGTAGTTTTGATTTGCATTTCCCTGATGACAAGTGATGTTGCACATTTTTTCATATGCCTGTTGGCCATTTGCATTTCCTCTTTGGAGAAGTTCCTTTTTTTTTTTTTAAATTAATTTATTTATTATTTATACAAGCACTGGGTACAGTCAGAAGCACGGGAGGGCGAGAGAATTCACCAGAGCCAGAGCGGGGAGCAGAGCAGGCAGAAGGACCGAAGTGCACTGCTGAGGGGAGCAGCGGGCGGCAGGAGAGGTCTGCGCGCCATGTGGGACCCTCCTCCAGTGGCCGGGGAGCAGCCGGGGATCGAACCGGCACTGCAGAGGCCGCGGGCAGCTTCGCAACCCAGTGCTCAACCACTGCACCACCGGGGAGGCCCTGGAGAAGTTCCTTTTTTATCTCTTCTGCCCATTTTGTGACTGGATTATTTACTTTGTTTTTTTGAGTCTCTTCAGCTCGCTAAGAGCATTCATTATTCTATGAGGACATCAGAAGTCTGCAGACTTAAATCTCTAGAAACTTCTAAATATTGATTTTACACACGATCATCACCAAAGAAATCTTTCAGGATCAGTACAATCCTGATTACTTTCTGAACTGTGTAGGTTTTTCTTCTGATTCATCCATGAAAAATACTTGTTTTAGAATTGAAAAATCCCCATACTTTGCCCCCTCTTGTCACCGATGAAGACATGGAGGTGCCGCTGAAAGCCATCTTCCCTCAGCGCCCACGGGCCCGAGGAGGAGACAGTGATGATCACTGAGGGAAGGGAAGGGCAGCCGCAGTCTCTTCTGACTTGCTGGAGGAGCAGCTGGCAGTAGTTCTCCTGAAGCCTCCTAATAAAGGTTAAAGGCTCCATTTAACTAAGCCCCTAGCGGGGGCCTCCAGGATGGCCTAGGGGTTAGTCTCAGCGCTCTCACCACTGTGGCCTGAGTTCGAGCCCCGGCCAGGGAGCTACCCGCAAGGAGCGTGGGAGTTAGCCCCCGTGAGGGGGCATGGAGCTAGAGCGCATGTGGTGCAGCAGAAGGTCTCTTCTCTCTGTGCCTGCTGCTCCACTCTGCTCTGTGCTTCAGATCTCGCCCCGCCCCCGCCTCCCTCGCCCCGCCCGCCTCCCTCGCCCCCCCCGCCTCCCTCGCCCCGCCCCCGCCTCCCTCGCCCCGCCCCCCCTCCCGCCCCCGCCCGCGCCCCCCGCCCCTCGCCCCGCCCCCGCCTCCCTCGCCCCGCCCCCCCCACATGTCTTCCCAATAAAAACTGACACCTAGATACTCCCGAGTGCTTAAACCAAATGTGAATCAGTTGTGAACAACAAGTACCATGCGACCAAACACCCCTCCATATGTAAAGTATCTACTACCCCCTAGTACCTTGAGCTTTTAATTTTGGCATTTGATAAATCAACTACACCATTTGTTCTTTCCCTATACTAATGACTGTTTTGTTCTTTAACTCAGCCTTAATATTCCAATACAAATCATAAACGTACTATAAAAAAGAATTGATAGGTGATTTTATTAAAATGCAAATGCAATACATTAATATCCTTGGGGATGACGCCCTATTAATTTTGTTGACCCAGCATTTCAACCTGTTGAGGTCTGCTTTCTGGGCCTGTGTGGAGGGCATTATAATCCTCTTTAAAAGTCTCTACATGCACATTATCTTACCTGAGCCTTGCTACAGCTTCATTAACAGCCTTACATTACAGCCATCGCTTTATTGATCATGACTTTCAGGTAGCAGCCAAATACTCGAATCCAGGTCCTCGAAGTCCAGTGCAGATTTCCAGCCTCCTTCTAATTCTGCAGCCATGCTTTTCATCATGCAGTCAGCAGTATTTACTCAGCATGTACTATGTGCTAGAAGCTGGAATCAGTGACTGAAGGTTTATTGGCTGCTGACAGTGTCTGAGGCCCCCTGCTCAATATTCTTTCCTTCAGCTTTTTCCCCAGTGAACAGTGAACACCATTTATTGAACAACTAGCGTGTACAGGATGTCATACACATTGACTAAGGGAGGTGTTCATTTCATCCAGGACGTACTCTGCTCCCTGCAGCCTTCTGTTGGGCTGGCTGCATGAGAGTCCGCCTGGCACCTTTTTAAAATAGACGCTCCTGGACCCTATCCTAGCAAATTAGACTCATCATCGGTTGCCCCAGAGCATTACATGTAATTCTTCAGAATGGTATTCACTTACTTGTTCATTAATGGTAAGAGAGTTCCCAGATGGGTGATAAATTCATTTATACCCAGAAGATGAAAGCCAAGAGTCTTCAAATTTACACTCTCTTTCATATATGTCCTTGAACGCCATTTCTAAATCAGTGGAGGTCAAATTAGTAAAGTTTACTGGGCAACTGTCGCAATCCCATATTTGTGTCTTTCTGGAACTTACAAACAGTTCACATTTACAGGACCTTTTGGGGGTGAGTGGTGACTGATTGAAGGCAGTTACTGACCTCCTTACATGCACCCAGTTTGCAGCTAGCTGTTTCAGCACTTCCTTAATAATGCCCAGGCTAAGCATCAGAACTTGTTAGAACTCGTTAGAAATATTTGGGCCTCATCTCAGAACTACGGAATCAGAAACTCAGGAGATGAGGCCCAGGATCCTACCTTTTAGGTAGTTCTGATGTACTATCAAGTTTGAGAACCACTGGCTTCTACTGTGGGTGCTCAGCAGGCAGCAGCTGGGCCAGTGTCAGAGCAAGGACCCTGAGTTTGCATTTAGGAACAGTGACAGCCTTGGCTTGTCATAGGATTCCCCAACGCAAGGTGCTTATTTGTTCATTAATGGTAAGAGAATCCCCAGATGGGGTTCATTCATAGCCAGAAGATGAAAGGAAGTTCACAGACTCACACAGGATCTCCATTCTTAGCTTCAGCCCATTCTGTCTGAATCTCGGGTTCAAAGCATCTTCTTGTCCTGTGCCCGCTTGCCTAATGGAGACATGCGAGCAGGTTTCTCCCATTTGCCAATAGTCCTAAACGCTCTGGAATCCTATCATATGTTTTCAGTCCTGCTCAGTTTTCTTCCAGCTGTCTCACTGTACCCATTAGTCACTAATTGAATCAGCATATTTGTGCTGTTGAAGGTGCAAAGGAAGCCCAGCATGGAGTCCGCTGAGCAGCTTACCCTCAAGAGGCCGCACTGAGTTGGGCTTCTGTGTGTTGTGGCCCATGTGGGCTTCTAAGAGGTTTTCTAAGAGCTGAAAACCTCAGGACACCCCCTGCGAAAGTGAGGGTTGAGGTGTAACCCACCAATTTTATCTTGTCATCTGCTAGGGACAGCACACAAAGGCGAGAATTTTAAAGCTGAAAGCAGTTTTAGAAGAAGTCATGGCTGTCATTTATTGAGCATCTACTATCTGCCAGGCAAAATACACATGTAACCTCGAATCCTTGAATCAACCTGGCAAGGTCACTTTTATCCCTATTTGACAAGTATATTTGTATTCTCCAGGGGAAAACAAAAACCAGTTGGTGTTTGTGTGTGTGTGTGTGTGTGTGTATAGAGATATTTATTATAACGAATTGATTTACATTATCATGTATGGTAAGAAGTCCCCAGGATCCGTGGGGTGAGTTGACAAGCTGTTGAACCTAGGAGAGCTGATGGTATCATTCCAGTCTGAGTCTGAAGGCCTGAGAACCAGGAGGAGGCACTGATTCAGTTGAAATCACAAGACTGGAAATGCTCATTTTCTGTTTCCACGGCAGTCAGTTAGGAAGAATTCCCTCTGGGGAGCAAACCTCTTTGTTCCATTCAGGTCTTCAACTGATTGAACGAGGCCCACCCACATTAGGAAGGACAATTTGCTTTACTCAGTCTACCTGTTCAAATGCTAACCTCCTCTTCACCCTTATAGAAACACTCAGAATAATGTTTAACCAAATATCTAGGTGCCTACTGCCCATTCAAGTGGACTTTTAAATTAACCACTCCAGGGAGGAAACTGAGGTTTTGAGACCTTAAGTAACTTGGTCAGCACCACACTGCTGAAGGGGCCAAAGCAGCTCTAAACTTAGTGTGCTTATCCCCAGTGTTATACTCCTGCCCCCACCATCCTGTTTAGAAAATGAGGAGACTTTACGAAGGTGAAGTCACGAAGAATGCAGGGTTGGCACAGGAGCTAATGTCTATTCCTTTCCCCATGACATTGTGTTGGGAGACTTGAGGTTAACCTGTTCTTAAAGCCAGTCCTTTCTCCACAGGATCCCCAAGCAAGACCTCCAGCTTGAGGAGCGAGGAGATTTTAGCAACCAAATGAGTTTACTGGCCACTGATCACCAGAAATGGCCTGGACATTGTAGTGCTTCAAAGGATCTTCTGATTAGGGTGATTGGCACTCAAGGTCACCATTTTAATCTGCATTTTATAAAGACCTAGAAAGTATGCTTGGCAAGTCAGGCAGCCCTGCATAGTGAAGAGCTGTTAGTGGGGAGTAGAACTGATCCCAAGTGATCCCCAGTTCCCTCCGGCTCTACACCCAGTTAGCAGCTCTCTCATCCACTCACTGACCCCTCTGTGGAGAAGGAAAGATTGGTCCCCAGATTTCTTAATATTTAATTGATTTAATGTAGCATTTTAGAAACACCCCATTATCGGCAAAGGCCTGAATAGATTCCATTCAAATAATTTCTGAGACTTGGAAAATTCCCCCAGACAATAGAGTTAGCCTAGAAAAAGTCAGAAAATATAGGAGAGAAAATAAAGATTACTAGAACTGCCTTTATAAAATAACTACGGGTAATGTTTTGATGTATGTCTGTGCTTTTAGACATGTTTGGAGTTTTCTACCCAATATCCTGTGCCAATCCTGGTCTTCCGTTATTATAGCTGTGTGACCTGTGTTTTTTTTTTAAAGATTCATCTATTTATACATATATAAGAACTGGGGTACAGGCCAGAGCCATGGGGGGCAGGGGGTGAGAGGATCCACCAGAGACAGAGTGGGGAGCAGAACAGGCAGATTGACCAAAGTACACTGCTGAGGGGAGCAGCGGGCGAGACAGGAGAGGTCTGCTGCACCATGTGGGTTGCTCTCTGGCTGCCCGGGGATCGAACTCGTGCTGCAGTGGCTGCAGTGAGCCCCATAGGCTGCGTCTTAACCCCTTGCGTCACCAGGGAGGCCCTGTGTGACCTGTTATTATAGCTGTATGACCTTAAGCAAGTCTCTTGACCTCTCTGAGCCTCCCTCATTTTTCCCCTTACCTAAAAAAAAATCACCTCCAGAATCTTACGGTTGAATAAAAAAGTGAAATTTCTATCAGTCCTTGGCTCACAGTAGGTGCTTGATCTGAATTCCCTTTACCTCCTCCACGCTTGCTTGCACCACCTTCTATTTTAAGGATGAACAGGTATTTTTAAGAAGAAGCGGTTTTTTGAAAACTCAAAAAAATTAAGAGGTTTTTGAGAATTCACATATCAAATCACCCCTCATGTCATGTGAAGCCTTTTGTGCTAAAATATGTCGGCACTCTTGAAAAACAAAGCAGGTAATCCTTTGAGTATTTGCTTATTGTGTTTTTCTTCTTTTAAAAAAAAATATCCAGCACTTCAGGATGTTTACAAATGAAAACAAATGTGTGTCCCTTGTTTTGCCCCCTGAGAATGTGACACATGCTATAAGCAACTTTGGGGAGCTGTAAAGGGTCTGGGGGAGGGCAGCCTTTTCCTAAAGCTTTATGTGACTTGACTGCACTGGGTTAAATGTGCAGTCAGCCTGTTGGGTCTGCCTTGTCTGTGCTGTAAATGCAAGGTAAGCAGAGGGGGCAGTAGGTGTGAGTGTCTTTCTCTGGGACACATAACCAAGTCCTGTAAATTGTGGGCATCTTGGTCCACTCTGGAAAGGGAAGAAGCTTGTTTTCTTGGGGTCCCAGTAGCACAGGACTTCTGAGGCAAGCCTCATCACTGACTAGAATAATATGAAGTTTTCAGAACCTCACAAATAACTTACAAGTGACTGAGCAAAAGACTTAAGGAGAGAGAGAGAGTTTTAAGTCAGAGATAAGGATCACTTAATGGGAGCATGAATGTACTTAATTTTTTTTTAAAGATTTATTTTTATACAAGAACTGGGGTACAGGCCAGATGTGCGGGAGGGTGAGAGGATTCACCAGAGCCAGAGCGGGGAACAGAACAGGCAGACTGACTGAAATACACTGCTGAGGGGAGCAGCGGGCGAGACAGGAGAGGTCTGCTGCGCTATGTGGGATTATTGCCGGCCGGCCGGGATCGAACCTGCGCTGCAGAGGCTGCGGACAGCCTCACAGTGCGGCGCTCAACCGCCTGTGCCACCAGGGAGGCCCCTACTTAATTTTTTGAGGATGTAAGTTTGGAAACCTTTTGTGTAGAACTCCCTTTAATAAAGAGAGGAAGCATTTAAAAAACATTTGATAGGGCAAAGGAAGGGCATGTAGGGGTAGTACCTTTGCAAGAGAAATTAAATATGAAGCTTTGACCCCATAACCAAATACACAGAGCCCAGGTCTGGTTACTCTCTTTACATGGGGGACTTCGGCCCAGTACCTTAGGAGGAACCTCCTCTGAAATAGTCCTATCTCAGTGCCCAGTGCCCTGTGCCCTGGGGCGTCAGGGAAGTCATGTGAATGACACCTGGTGGAGGAAATACCTGCGGGCAGTAAATACTCCTAAAGAGAAAAGGCAGTAAATACTCCATCCCTTGATCAGATGCATACAGAAGCTGTGTTGGAGTTCTAACTCCTGGGCCAGGCCAAGAGACCTAAATAAAGCAGACAGAGAGAAAAGTACTGAGTCACAGAGACCCTGGTTCTTAGCTGGGGGTGCTGGGATGTGCTCCAACTCCAGAGCCTCACACGCCTTCCTGAATTTGTAACACAAGCTAGCCCAGGTGGCCTGTTTTCTGTGCTCCAGCCTAAAGGTTGACCCCTCCCCTAGCGGGCCCCACTTTCTGAGACCTTGGTGTATGTCTGAGATCCACACTTACCTCTGGGCCTGGCACGCCAGCCCACATCCCTGACTGTGCTGCCGCCTCACCCCAGCCTCTGCTGCCTCTCCTCTCCCTGTGGTTCTGGGTGCTTCTCCTCCTTGCACTGGACACAGGAGACATTCAGTAGCAGGGAACAGCCAGGACCTTCGTGTCCCTTGTGTTTGTAAGAGGCACAATGGGCTCTGCATCCTGGAGACCCCGACCTGGGCAACCGGGAATCCCAAGATCAGACTGTCCTGCTGGGCATCAAACCAGCCCCAGGCGTGGGCATTACTGGGGAGAAGGTGTCAGGAAGGCCTGTTGGATTTGAAGTAACTGGGCGCATTGCATGAAGGTAAATAGGAGACACATGGGGTGCCTAGAAATAGACGTTAACCCAAATGTCCTTTTCCAGGCTCTTAAAATAATTTAGCTCTTGTATTGACTAGACGTCGCCTCCCACCTGGCTGGGAGGGAGGTGACTGAGGAAGGGAGTGTGGACAGCCTTTAAGGGGCTGTGGAGGTCAAGGGAGAGGCACTGCCCAGCCCCAAGGCTGCTGCTGTCTTCTGCTTCTGGTCGCTGAGGGCAAGCAGGAGCCGGGAGAGGAATGGGTTCAGGATGAAGGTTTGATGTCAGGGGAGAAAAGTTGATCAAAAACATTAACTGGGCCCCTCAGCAGTGTGTTTCAGTCAGTCTGCCTGTTCTGCTCCCCACTCTGTGTCTGGTGAATCCTCTCACCGCACCCCCCCACCTCTGGCCTGTACCCCAGCTCTTGCATGCATAAATAAATAGAAATTAAAAAAAAAGAAAACATTAACTGGGGATGTCGGACTCTGGGCCCAAAGGCTGTTGACCTCCATTGCCCTGGGGGGGCAGGAGGGACAGCCCCTGTGAGCCCCAGACTGACCCCTCTCTTTGCTTTTTTCCCCCTTTGAAGGACGGAGGCTGCACGTGTCCAGGAGATGTCGCCAAAGCCTTTGGTAAGGGGACACGAAGGGAGAGGGTAACTCCTGCTGAGCACAGGCTGGGGGGCGGGGGCGGTATGGACCCCTTTGAGGAGGCAGGATTGAGGATTGGGGGTGGGGGGAGTTCTGGGCATGTCCTAGATGTGAGGCCCGATTGGCCAGAAACGAGGTAAGGGGTTCTGATCTGATAGATGGCAGAGCAGGCCCAGTGCCCTGGGGTCCTTTTGGGGGTGACACCCACGAGCCAGAGCGGGTGAAGTGGCTGAGAGGGCGGGACTGTGGATGGGGTCCCCCAGACCTGTTGTGCAGGAACTTAGGGAGGGTGTTCGGGTCTGACTTGGGCATCCCTTGGATTGGGCGAATCACCTGCACTTTGTCACTAGGCGGCAGCAGTGTCCAGCCGTGAGCCTGTCATGTTCTGGGTTTTTCCAGGACATCCAGCCTCTCACCTTGCTGTGCCCTGTGCCCCCTCTTAAACTTTGCAAACTGCTTTCAAAACTCGGAGCTGGCTGCCTGCTGCGGCCTCGCAAACTGTGAAGAGGTGGGAGCTCTGAGGGCCGCACCCTCCTTCCTTAATGCTGGGGCCAAGTGCGCTGTTGATGTTTTGTTCTTTTCCTTTTTTGGTTTTTGGTGGAGCAGAAGTGTCATCTGCATTCCTAGGGGGTGCCGGTGCCCTTCCTTCCTGGTGTGGGACCACTCTCAGGATGAACTTCAGAGCTCATCCCATGGAATGCCTGAGCATTAGGCATTCATTCCTTCATTTACTTTATTTTTAATAAAACATTGACTCTAACCAAAGGAGAGCAGGGCACCGGCAGCTGGTTTTTGTAATTGGATTTTTTATTGAGGTCATGTTGGTGTCCAGCTCTGCCTGTGATTCAGGGGACGAGGCTCACACCTGCTCTGATGCATGTCTCCCCTCACGCCTCATGCCACCCCTCCCCTTTGCTCCCACCTTTTACCCACCCCCCGCTACTCCCAAGTAGCCTCAATTCTGCAGTCAGATTTCTAGGTTCGTTTTGGTTTAGTTTTGTTAGTTCCTTTGTTTTGTTTGTCTATATTCCACACAGGACTGAAATCATCTGACATTTCTCCTGACTTATTTTGCATAGCCTCAATCCCTTAAGTTCCATCTTTTTTTTAATAGCAAGAGTTCATCTTTTTTGTCTTTTAAATCATAGCGTTGCATTCCATGTGTATATACCACGTCTTCTTAATCCACTCACCTGTCCTCGGACTCTTAGGTTGTTACCTTAACTTGGCCGTTATACAGAGGGAGCAGCTGGGTTTTGTCCAACTCTGGATAATGTCATTAAAATGGGCATCAGGGGCCTCCCTGGTGGCACCAGCGGTTAGAACTTTAGGGCAGGCCACAGTCCCTGCAGCATGAGTTCAATCCCCAGCCAGGGAGCTGACCCACAGGATGCAGCAGACCTCTCCTGTCTCGCTCACTGCACCCCTCAGCAGTGTGTTTCAGTCAGTCTACTTGTTCTGCTCCCCACTCTGTCTCTGGTGAATCCTCTCACCACCCGCCCACCTCTGGCCTGCACCCCAGTTCTTGTATGCACCGATAAACAAGTCTTTAAAAAATAGGCAACTTTCTTATTACTTCATCCTATTCTAGTCCTGTATCTTGGCTGTGAAGAGAGCATATAGATCAACTATTTAATTTGGCTTCCCATTTTATATTGAGGGGAATGACACCCGAAAAGGTGAGTGGCAAGGTTGGGGTCTCACAAATTGGGGCAGAGAGCTCAGGATTCCTGCTGATCTTACAAGTATCATCAGCAAGGACATTTTACTGCCTTTGGGCTTCCTTCTGAGGCTCACCCAGTGCTCGCTGCACATAGCAGGTGCTGAGTACGCTTTGCCGTGACTGTTACGAAGGTACCTGTTGGAGACAGATGTGGGTGTCGTTCTTGCCTTGGAATCACTCTCTGGCGTCTTCGCCTCCACTCACCTCCCAGGGTTGCAGTCACACCTGTGCTGAGAGGCTCCATGGAGCAGCGGGCCTGTGTCAGGGAGGATACTGGTAGGAGAGGGTACAGGAGGATCTAGAGATAAATAATTGGCAACCACATCAGAGCATTATTTGAGGGGAATCTGTGTTCTGTGTTCCTGCTGCTTCCCTGCTTTGCAGTAGTGGCTGCAAAGGCCCTCTGCTTCTGCTTTGTGGGCATGGAGGCCTGGCCAGACACCAATTTTTCTCTGCCCCTTTAAAATCACAGCAGAGGGCTCAGCGGCCAGCATTACCGGGAACCCTCCCTTCCTGACACGCTTGCTGCCAAATCGAAAGGTCCTTGTGTGCCCTGCTTGCTTGATGTCGGGTCCGGGAGCCAGCCCCTCAGGGTCCCTTTCTGTGTGTGAACAGAAGGGAGGGTAATACAGGACGCAGACCTCAGTGTTCTCTTATAAAAATTGAAATGATGAAAGAGATCAAGGTCACTCGTCAGGGGTTCTGTTTTCTCTTCCTCATCAGGGTTGGAGCGTCACCCTCTTCTCTCATCTTAATCACTTGCTCCACCTGCCTGTCCTCTGATAGCTTTGTTTTCTAAACAGGACTTAGGAGAAGTTGCAGCAGTTTCTTAACAGTGTTTGGAGAGCCTGTCTGCATAATCTTGCACCTGCGAACAGGTTGGGGACGGTGATTATTTGTCTCTTCCACATATACCTTTTACTTTCTTGACAGCTTGTTATTTCATATCTGCCATGTGCCATACACTGTGATAAGCGCTGGATACAGCCCTGCGCCAGCCTTGGTCCTAGGCCAACATTGCCTATAAGGCAGCTCACCCAGGTCTCCTCCACCCCTATCCCAGAAATGTCATGTCATTCTCTGGAATACTAGTTTTTCTGACGGTCTAATATTCATTGCAACAGTGTACAGGCAGAGTTTCAGATATAGGTTGCTCTCCTGGGTCCAGTCTCTAGTACAGGAATGTTGGTCTGTTTTGAGGGCGTTTCATGGTTTTCTGAAGCAGGTTGGGAGGGTGCTGAAAACACCCTGATGGGGTCCTTGTAGAGGAGTTACTGTATTATGTAGGAGATTGGACAGTGTGCTGGCTGGGATGCCAATTCTTTTTTCTTTTTTTTAAAGATTTTTTTATGCATACAAGAACTGGGGGTACAGGCCAGAGGTGCAGGGGGTGAGAGGATTCACCAGAGACAGAGTAGGAAGCAGAACAGGCAGATTGACTGAAAATACACTGCTGAGGGGAGCAGCGGGCGAGTCAGGAGAGGTCTGCTGTGCCATGTGGGTTGCTCCCTGGCCAGGGATTGAACTCATGCTGCAGAGGCTGTGGATAGCTTCACAGTGCTGTGCTTAACCCCTTGTGCCACCAGGGAGGCCCTAGGATGCCAATTCTTAATGTCAGTCTGATTATAAGAATTAGATCTCTCTTTGGAGGGTAGTCACTGGTAGTCATTGTAGCCACAGAGGATTAACCAGTATATTAGCCGCAAGACTTCAATAGGCTGCTGTTGTTTCTCTGAGTGTGTCTACTTATTACTTGGTGTCCTTAAATTAAAAAAAAAGGGGGGGGGCTTCCCTGGTGGCGTAGGGGTCAAGCCTTAGCACTATCACCACTGGGGCATGAGTTCAATCCCTGGCAGGCCAGGGAGGTGACCTATATGGCATAGCAGACCTCGCCTGTCTTGCCCGCTGCTCCCCTCAGCAGTGTGTTTTGTCAGTTTGCCTGTTCTGCTCCCCACTCGGTCTCTGGTGAATCCTCTCACCCTCCTGCACCTCTGGCCTACATCCCAGTTCTTATAAGCATCAATCAATCAATCAATCTTAAAAAAAAAAGCTGTCTTCAGTATAGTTGGAAGAGGGGAGAGGAAGTTGGGGTAAGCACTTAGACCTCCCCAGAAACAATAACCTCTGAGTTCTTTTCTCTGTGGATCTTGCCCCCGCCGCTGGGACTTTAGGAGCTGGAGCTGATTTTGTCATGCTGGGCGGCATGTTCTCGGGCCACACCGAGTGTGCTGGAGAGGTGATCGAGAAGAACGGGCAGAAGCTCAAGCTCTTCTATGGGATGAGCTCCGACACGGCGATGAAGAAACATGCAGGAGGAGTCGCTGAGTACAGGTGAGGGGAAGAGCCAGCCTTTCACTGCTGAGGTCGTAACATGTCTCTCGCTTCTTACAGAAACGAGATGAAAGCAGGTCTCAAAGAATATCAATTCTGTTTGCATGATGGTACCGTGCGAAGGAGCTAGAAAACATACCTTGCCTCTTTTTAAATAGCTCTGATTTTTCCCAAGTAACATTTGCAGTGTTTGGCAACCTCAAAATTCTGGAATGGGTTGGCATTGTGATGTGGGGGTAAGCATGGGGTGACCCCAGAACTTGAGGTGTGGGGAGGAATGGGCGTCCTTCTGATAGAGCCTTGCTGCACCAACCCTGTACCTTCCATCTCTGACCAACCTGAACTCAGGCTGAACGGTTGCATGAGTTTGATCTCCAGCCAGGGAGCTACCCACATGGCTCAGCAGACCTCTCTTGTCTCACCCGCTGCTCCCCTCAGCAGTGTATTTCAGTAGATCTGCCTGTTCTGCTTCCCACTTTGTCTGGTGAATCCTCTCACAACACCCCCCCCCCAACCCCCATTCAAGGCAGACTTTAATGGAGGACTCGGGTGCTGCATTTAAACTTTCATCCTGGAAACTTCAGACTAGAGCCGTGTGATTCTGCGCCGCTTCTTTGCCTGCTGTATGGCTTTGCCCTCTAGCTGTTGCATCTGTTTTGGGTTCTAAGATAAATAGATAGTAAAGACGGGGTCCCCCGGCACCCCTTACTAGACTCTCATCTGGCACAGGCAGCATTTAATTTAATCCTTTCGCTGTGTCACTCACTGTAGAAGGGATGCTCGCTTCTGCTTACCTTTATATCTTTTACTCCAAAAGCTAACCTGGTCTTTTCTGTTTCACTTCCATTTAATTGTCTATCTCTGTGTGTTAAGAATCTATAAAATATATCCACCCATTTGCCCTGCTTGACAGGATCTGCCATGGCTTCTTTTTTTGGGTTTATGCTGATGACGAGCTATGCGGTGAGGACTGGACGGATGTCCTGCATCTCCAGAAAGAAGCAGAGCCTGCATGGGGGTCTGATGGCCTTTCTCCAGAAAGCCTTGGCTTCCCTGGCTTTTAGACACCATCCTAGCTCTGGATGGACACTCACTCAGTCTCCCCTGGTTGATATCCGCCATTCCTACGAGTCATCCCACACCCAAGGGATTCAGGTGTTTTGAGGTCATGAGATTCAGATGCATTATATAAGGTTCAAATCAGGTTAGAGGCAGAAAGCTCAGAACTCCAGCAAGATTTCCAGGCAGGAGGGAGCTTGGGAGGTGTGGAATATTCTCCCAGCATACTGTTTTTTAGTAGGTGCTGGTGGGCTGTGTTCAGTTCTCATCACCTCAGCCTTTATCTCTTTCAGGGATAAAGAAATATATTAGGGTCTCTCTGGTGGTGCAAGGGGTTAAGTCTCAGCACTATCATGCTATCAGCAGCCACTGCAGCATGAGTTTGATCTGCGGCCAGGGAGATGACCCACATGGCGCGGTAGACCCCTCCTGTCTCGCCCGCTGCTCCCCTCAGCAGTGTATTTCAGTCAGTCTGCCTGTTCTGCTCCCCACTCTGTCTCTGGTGGGTCCTCTCACCCCCCTCACCATCCCCATTCAAGGCAGACTTTAATGGAGGAATAGGGTACTGCATTTAAACTTTCATTCTGGAAACTTCCGACTAGAGCCATGTGATTCTGCCTGCGCCACTTTCTTTGCCTGCAGTGTGGCTTTGCCCTCTGGCTGTTGGATCTGTTTTGGGTTCTGAAATTAATAGATGGTAAAGGCCAGATGAGGCTCTACTGCAGACAGAAGCCAAGGAGCCCAGAAGAAAATCATCTGTAATTCAGCAGACTTACTTGAGAAAGTGTGAGCTTCAGGAATATCAAGACTATTTGCGGAGTGGATTCGAATCATAGACATGGAGGGAGAAGGCTGAAGGAGTTAGAACTTTAATCCAAAGCAGCCTCAGCCCCGCTGGCTCCCTCCATTCTATTTGTCTCTCTTCATCTTGCTTCTCTCTGCCTCCCTCCAACTCTTGTCTCCTTCCTTCCCTTTCCCTGGCAGTTTCAGCCTCACGAGAATGGTTTCCCTCCGCTGACATTATATTTCATTAAGGCAGAGTTATTTATGCTTTGCTAGTTCCTTCTCACCCATTCACCATTTAGTGCTCATGCTGTCCTTGGGAGACCTTTACTTTACCGACGATAGGACTTGAGCATCAGCAATAAATGACTTGCAGGAGGTGCCATCACCACTGGGCGAGCTTGGATTATTCTGTGTCTTTGTCTTGACCTTTCTGTGCCTTTCACCCAGAGTAAGAACAGAAAAGGTCTGAGATGAGGAACCTCTCAGGGCAGAAGTCCTGGTATGAAGAATTATATGTGCTGAAAACAGCAGTAGATACTGGACTTAGATCAGCTCTAACCCTGAGGCCTCCCCTGACTCTCTCCCTGACCCCCCACACATTAACACATTCCCTGCATGGCCTTTTCTTGCTTCTTTGACTTCTTATCTTCCACTTGACACTAAATAAGTAGAGACCGCCCTTGGAAGGGGTTGCCCTCTTAAAGGGCTTCTAGGCTTCTCTAGAAGCTCTAGGCTTCTCGTTGTTCCAATTCCCTTGGACTCTGAGTAAATCTTTTTTCTTCCTGTGCCACACGTTGCAAGAAGACACACTACCAGTTAGCAAAGAAGCAATGATGAGACTCTGGATCATTCCAATGAGCCCCAGAAAGCTTTCTTAAGAAATGGGAATCTCGTAAGAAAATGAAGTGGCAGCCATTGCAGGCACATGTGAGTTGATGTGGGTCTCTGGCCACAGGAAGCAGTGACTTGAACCTTCTTGGGTGTAGCCACTGACTGGCCTTATGCCCTTGATTTTCTAAATCAGCTGCTAAGAAGCACCTAATCTAGCCACTGATTTCAGTAGGTACTTTTCATCCACAGGTCATTTTGCATGTATAGATTTCAATGCATTTCAATTTCAATTTCAACTCATTTCCAGATAATGAGTTTTTTGATCCAGAGGTGCTCTTTTTCAGTTGTAGAGACCAGCTAGAGAAAGTTCGAGTATGTAGTTCTTAAAATTCCAGGTTGTCCCCTCTTAGATGAGGGACAGTTTTCTAGAGTGGATGTTTCCTTCTTATCTCCTTCAAAAGCAAGTCTGACTGTGTCTCCTTTTGGCAATCAGGGCATTTGACATGTGGAATCAAACAGCCTGGTGAAGAGAGGGTCAAGGACTCAGCAAGGATGCTTAGATCTTGTTTTGTGTCGGTACCATAGGCCTTCTGTATTTCTAAATGTTCCCTTGAAAACATGAACGATGCAGCCCACAGCCTTGACACTTCCTGTGTTGACAAAGTCCTTAGTTCTATTCCAGTTCTGCCTTCCGAGGACCCCAGGAGGGCAGGTGTGGTGATATGTCTGAGCTCGTGGAGGCGAGCTGGCAGAAATGTACCCAGCAAATGGGGCCCCCCCAAGAAAGACAGGTCATTAGCATGGGGTGCAGGTTTGCATGGAAGGCTTGAGCGTTCCATATCAGTGACATCTTCCTCTTCCCTTTGAAGACAATCAGTATCTCCCTGGGGTGCTGGCGTGGGGAGGACAGAGCACTGGGCTTTTTCTGTTGACCTGGGAGGGCTGGAGGTAACCACCAGGTCTGTTCTTCTCCTGGGGCATTTTGGGACCTGGAACAGCTAGAGATTGCTGTGCCAATTAAGGTAAAATAGAAAGGTGAGCTGGGTTCAGGTTGGGGAAGGGCGGAGGCACTCTGCTGAGGCTCCTGTGGGTCTTCAGAATCATCTGGTGTGGGTGGAACCTTCCTTCCCGGGCTCTCTGGGTCGCCGGTGGTGAGACCTGGCCCATTTCTATCCGAGATGCTGGCCTGGCCAGTTTGGCATTTTGTAGCTACGTGGGAGCAGGGCCAGAGGGTGGCGGGTGTCTCCCCAAGGTTCTCCAGGCTGTCTCAAGTGCTAACGCTGGGAATTTCAGCTGAGTTCTTAAGCAAAAAGAACTAGACTAATAGAAAAACTTTCTTTTCCTTCCAGAGCCTCTGAGGGCAAGACAGTGGAAGTGCCTTACAAAGGGGATGTGGAAAACACGATTCTGGATATTCTTGGGGGACTCAGGTCTACCTGCACCTATGTGGGGGCCGCCAAACTCAAGGAGCTGAGTAGGAGGGCGACATTCATCCGGGTGACCCAGCAGCACAACACCGTGTTCAGCTAACCTCCAGGATGAGCTCCCCTGCCAGGCACACGCGCTTTCCTCTCCCCCCTCCTGTTACATCAGAGCTTCCGGCTGCTCCCCAATGGCGGAATGTCTCCCCTTCCTGCCACCTGGAGGCGTCAGGGCTCCCCTAGTGCCTTCTGGGGGCTCAGAAGCAGGGCACTGCTTGGGTCCGTGGTCAAAGCCCAACTGCCCGTGCAACTCATAACCTCATCGTTAAAACTCACACACACTTTCTGGGTTTTTTTTTTTTTTTAAAGAAAAGGTTTCACTTTAATATAATGCTGTTATCTTAAGACTTGCTAGAGTGCTGGCATTTGCATTTGCAAGCAAGCTGTAGGCACCATGGGCATTTCCTGCATCCTTCCCTGATAGGCTCTGAGTTTCTGGGGAAGTTGAGGAGGGGTGGTTGGAGGGGGGCAGGTCAGGGCCAAGGAGATTACTGGCATCCAGCTGCTCCCTCCAGCTTTGGTTGCTGGAAAACAACAAAAGCTCTTGACTGGAAAATGTTACAAGTTTCCCATTTGAGCCCTTAGATAAGTTTGGCAGTTTTAAAGAGATTATTGCAAAACCAGGGAGAGGTGGAGCAAAGGGATCTTAAAGAAATCTATTGAAACCATAGAAGCAGGAGTCAGGGCACTCTACAGCCTATGCCCTCCATGCTCCTCATTTAGCTTGAGGTCACCATGGTCCCCTTCGGCACATCAGGCACCTGCTACACCCTGTGGCCAGGAGGGCAAGGCCAGTCAGCCCACGTGGCACCCCTGTGGGCAGCCCTCTTTTTCCATCTAGCTGCTTGTTTTGAAAAGCCAAGCTGGGTGCCTGGCTCATTCAAGTCTTTAGGGAAGTGAAAACAGAATTATTGTAAAAGCCAAGAACTTACCGGGATCATTTTGAAGCAGAGGCTGAATATGCAGCATTTCTAAGACACCATCTCCGGCCTCAGCTAGTCCATCTCTGCCTCCGATTGCAGTGGGCCTGGGGGTGCCGTGGCGGAGTCTGTCTGTCCATCTATCATGCAGACATGAGATTAAACATGTAGCTCGGCTGCCCTCCGGTAGGCCTTTCTGTACCCTGTGCAGCGTGGGGAGGGAGAGTCTGTGAATTGTCATTCACCTGGGGCCTCAACCTGGGGACCCCCAGGTTGTTTTCAAGTTTTCTCCCCCTTGCAGCTTGTAAAGCAAAGGTTTCTCTCCTAATCAGTTTGACCTACGAGGTCAGTCTCACGGCTATTGGACCCTGAACTTGTCAGAACCAGAACTCTTAGCATCTATATTAAAGCAGCAGGATAGCAAACATTCACAGTCACTCAGTCATCGCCTCGGGCCCGCTCCCCCCAGACTTGCCCACAGCTCCCTGTGCGCCTGTCCTGACTGTTCTGGAAGAGGTGGGTCTGGATGGTCCTTCTGGGCAGGGCTGCAAGGCACTTAACCAGTGCCCATGTTAGGACCTCAGCTCTAAATTTGTAAGAGAATCCTGGTGAGGTGTCCCCAGACAGCTAGCCAACAAGACAAAAAGGTGTCCGTCCCTAAGCTAAGCAAAAACTTGGCTTTACAAACCCATGGGTCCCTTCCACCCCTGCAGGACCTTAAGGGTGGCAGGATCTGATGGCCACACATGCAGAGGGAGTGGGGGTTCCCCTGAAAGTTCTAGATCCTTGAAGAATTACTCTCTTGGGCAGCTGCTCAGTTGCAGAGTTGACTTCTGAGACTGGACACGGGGTAAACCTGTGGTGCAGACTGGTCATGTCCTGGGGTGGGGGGTAGGGGGGCTCTGCTGGTGAGTTTATAACAGATGTGAACTCCAGGAGACAGGAAGGAACTTTGCACCTGCAGGTCCCCAGCCAGTTTACAGCAAACCTACAGAATGCGTGGATGATGCTCTATGAGCCTGTGAAGCTGCCAAATGCTGTTTAGACAAACCTCTTATGAGCAGCTTGTTCTGATGGGAGAAATAAACACGGACAAGCCAAGACGTCAGATGCTGAAACGTGCCTTTTCTCTCAACCTCGTGTCGAGCACAACCACCTCACCCCACCCCCCACCCCCCAAGAAAAAATTAAGCAGGCGAGGCAGTGCCAACGTCACTTCCCGCCACCACCGACCTACCTGGGGTGCCAGGAGGGTAAGGAAGGCGTCACCACCGCATTCTCAGCCTTGTCTCCGAGGCCCCCACAAAAGCAAGGACACATTTGCAATTGGCACTGTTATTTTATTAGTACGAGTATACTGAAACAATAAACTTGTACTGGTATACAGACAATTTATTTAAAACAATTTTGTTCAAATTTTGAATCAAACATTGTTTTATTATAATAATGAAATAATTTCTACCTAGAAAACCTGCAAGCACCATCAAAGGAAGGGACCATAAAATTCAATAAACAGACTCGAGTGTATCCTACAAATAGACACACCACGATTAGAAAATAGAATATGAATTCTTTCGTTTTTTTTTTTTTAATATTTGTTTTAAAAAAGCTAGTGCAAGTACAATATTTTACACTGGAATTACAGAGAGTATGCACGCATATGGAAAAAAGTTCTCCTGTCACAATAAAAGCTCTTAACTATGTATGCACTTAAAATTTTCTTTTCAATAAGGTGCAAAACATCATTCCTTCTCTCGTTCTCCTCTGTACTGGCCATGTCAGTCTGATAGTGCCCTCAAAGGTCTGGTGTCTCTTTTTCCCCCTGGCTGATGGGAGGCATAGGTTTGAAGTTTGGAGGATAATGATTCAATGGTACGAATCTCAGAGATGGCTCTGGGGGCCAGGACCCCACTGGCTAGAAATCGGACAGTCTTAACCGAAAGCCACCAGGAATCCTGGCGGGGCTCTTGAAAGCGCCTGACAGCTGACAATTTGGGGTTACAGGGGAGGGGCGATGGCTTGGAGAGGACAAAACATCCCCCAAAGGCCCAAGAGGCAGTATTCACAGAACCCAATGCACAGGCATCAAGTTGAAGGTGTCACTGACTACAGATCTTACCCCAGTCCTGCGCCAGAGAGGCCTAAGAGTCGGTGGCTCGGGTAAGACCCAGATGGTGCCGATCAAGCCAGCTTCTCGGCGACTGCTCTTTAAAGACAGCAGCCCGTCAGCTTAGCATCGCCTCAGACTCGGTTTTCGGAGGACAGTGTGTTATCTCGGCAAGGATTACTGTAAACAACACTTCCAGAAAAGGCCTTCAGACAGGCCATGGAAAAGGAGACCGGCTGACGGGCCATCCGGACAGCAAACCAACCCACCAAAGGGTAAGAAAACTTGGGTGAAGTCTCCGATTATCTGCAGTGGAAGACTTGAGTCCTTTCAGATAAGAAAAGTTACGGAAATGCTTAGAGACTGTTACTGGATAGACACTACCTATTGGCCAAATGCACTTAATTTTAATACAGCTGAACCATGTGTACGCAGGTCGTGAGGACATGGAAAACCAAAGCCGCTCTTTCCTCCCGCCATCGTACAGGTGAATGTTAGCTACCAGAAAAATTGCATTCAACAGTAAGGGAGGGGCCGAGATTCTGAATTTCAGAACTGTAGCTGTTGGGGGGGCTGCCTCGACAGCCCCTCAGCTCTCCAGTTTCCGTTGGCTGGCTCGATTTTTGGACAGAATCTGACTTCTGAGAAGTTGCTCCGTATTTATTTCGGCCTCTTACGATTACAGAGAAAATAAAACTCAAATGAGGCCTTTACATTAAAATGCATGTTTTACCCCCCCATGAAAATGAGGTGCGGGGGAAAAAAGGCTGAACTTTGTTTTGTCCTCGTCATGAGTCCTGTCTTACGGGTAGCTAGGATCCCTTGTTACAAACACTTCTTGTTCAGGATTATATTCTTTGGGTTTAGTGGAACAGGAAGTGCCGACAATGTCAAACATCATCTCTGAAGAAAAAGGAGTTGCAATGGCTTAAAGAGTTTCAACTAAGAAGGGAGCTCAGAGAAGTATTTTTCAGTATAGGAATGAACGGTATTCTCGAACTGCAGAATACAGAATGACCCTCCCTCAGAAGAGGGCTCTGTGTAACAAAACATAAAGGAAGCATAGGTATAGTTTAAGAGCCTTTTACGTAGTAATTCTTTCAGGCCATAACCATACAAATCTGATCATTTAGACATGACAAATTTCTATATACAAAAAAAAAAACAAAACAGGTAACTTTCAACCTTTATGCTTTTTTCTTTTTCTTTTTTTACAAACAAGGTATGAAACTCATTATTTGAACAGATCCATATCTTTCAAACACTGAATGAATCATTTCAACATTCATTTTTCTTTTGTGCAATTTTTTAAAAACATTACCTGTACTCCTGAAAGTGAGTGCTTCAAAAAGTTTGTTTTCTTCAGCTTCTCAGATTAGGTGTACATTTAAAAAAAAAAAAATTCCCACAAGGTATAGTGCTACAAGGAGAGATCCTATCAGTAAGGTAACATATTTGAAGCGAGGTCATCTATGTAAAAGAAATCTCAGCTCCGGGGTAGAGGTGTGCAAATTGTTTGGAGTTTCCCTATTGACAGAAACACAACACTGTCCGTGGAAGAGGAAACCAACCCAACACAACAGCATATGCATGTGCTTTATAAAAAAGTATATTCTCTGTGTATTTATGACTTGACGTGTTCTTAAATCCTCTATTTCAGAAATTCTGGGTTGCAAACACAAAGGCGGAAGCAAATGCCTCCCTTGGAAAAACAACAACAACAACAAAAAAAAAGTGTAATTTTCCCTTCCTTTTCGTATCACCACGGCAGCTGGATCGGACCCTGGAGACCCCTGGCCCCGTGTTCACCTGGAATCTTCGCGGGTGATTAGGAAACAGGAAGTGCAAAGAGTTTTAGGAGAGAAGACACCACAGTTTGTTGAGCTGCTTTTGCTTCATGAAGCCGTAGCCATGACAACCAACACAGCTCAAAAAGCCTGGCCTTCTGTCCCAAGAGCTCTGCTTGTTCACCCATGTCTGAAACAGCATGGCATTAGTGTCTTCGAAAGCATTTGAGACTTTTCTCTTTATGAAAGAAATAGGTTTCCTTAGTAGTCACAGATGTTAAGAGGGTATTGTCAATTGTCTCCTTAAAAAAACATAAAAAATTCCAAAGCTACGACAACAAAAATAAATTTTGGCAATATATTCAGTAAAGATCAAACTATGTGCAAAGAGTGGATTTGATGATTACTAGGAGCTACTGTTCATCTCGAACATGCAGCATTATATTGCAATCTATGCAGTTTCTAAGGAGGAATCCACAAGATGCAGGAAATCCAAACATTCCTTGAAGTTGTACAACCCTACCCCAGAGCAGTCAAAGTGCTGCTTCCGGGCACATCAGTGTGCCACACACACGCCAGCCCCGTCCCTGAGTAAGAGGTGTGAAAGGTTCCGCAGAGTTCCTCGTGGGGGAAGAAGGAGGGATGCCACCACTTTCTGGTGGGGGAAAACCCAACACACTCGCCTAACACAAAACATAGAGGGTCGCCATTCGCTGAGAAATGGGATCCACCACAATAAAGAAAAAAAAAAAATCAATCATCCCAAACCGAACTGGGTGAGTTGGGGGAAACGAAAACTTGACCGACATAGAAAATCATCCTGAAGGTCCAAATGAAAACGCAATTTGGATTTCCACTTGAAAAGATTTGAGGTAAGTGGCATCCATGTCTGTATCCCCCGCCCCCCACCCCGCCCCCACCCCAAGTGGACCAGACAAACTGAAAGAATTCTCAAGTTAAACATTCTAAGGAACAGTCATTTTATATATTTAGAAATCCCTACAAAGAGAGGTTCTTGTTTGTTGGTTTCTTATTATTTTTTTTCTTTTCGCCCTGACTAATTTCTTGGTGATTGTGTTCCATTGTAAACGCAAAAGGCCTGCTGTTATTTGTTTAAAAATGGAAAACAGGAGAGAAAGAAGAACTAAAGACAGCTGTCAGTAAATATTGCAAAGTGGACACAGTACAGAGGCACATAGCTGATCCTCGTAAGCTGCACGGCACCGAAGAATTTCTACACCTGTCACGGTTAGGTTCGTGACACAGGAGCGGTGCCAAAGGCTGTTCTGGGAGTCTGGGGCTCGCCAATGTCTGCCAACAAGAGGAGGCTCCCTGTCCTCGAGTTGTTGTTCCTATTTGAGGACAGAGCTGACACAGAGGAGAGGTGACATGGTTGCCAGGTCGCTCCCTCCGCAGCCACAGGCCGTTGCTCAGAGGCACGACTTGAAGTCTCAAGGACACAGACCTCAGGCAGGGCCTGGCCCAGCGCGGAGAGGACGTGGAAAACGGGTTGATCCTGGCTACACTGCTCCCGAGTGTGCCTGAGAGATGACTCTGCCTCCTTCCTCTCCACGCTCCACATCGACTATTCCTCGTGGTGACCTGGGGAACCGCAGCTCTTCCCCTAGATCTCCTTGGCTTGCTCTTTCTGCAACATGGCGACAGACACGGGGTGCTCCTGAAGGCTCCCTGCCCCAGCACTCAGCATCCGCAGCAGGAGGCAATCCCCTTCCTGGGTCTCTTCCCTCCAGCCCTTCTCTGGCCAGAGTGGGGAAGATGAACCGAACAGGAAAAAGCCGAAAGGGTATGAGTTTTAACTAGAGCAGACGGTCAGACTATTGGCACAGAAAGTATTGCACATGCTAAAAAAAGCAAGAGAATGAAATGCGACAATGTTTAGAAAGAACCGATTATTTTATAATTCCTATACCTGAAATAGATAGAAGCACAAAAATTAGGATGATGTTCCTATTGCTCCAAACCATGAATGTTTTCCCATTTTAGTGTTGGTTTTGTGGATCCAAGTAAGCCAAAAGGTGATGTGTGTTGTTCGGAGTCCACGAGTTGCTATAAATAGTGGTACGGATGAGGACAAAAGTCTACATGGCAGCCCCGTGTTCCTCTTACTATCAAAGGTTACAAAACAGAAAGGAAAAACAAAACCTAATAATTGCAAGTGCCCTGAGCAGAATATATGGAAGATTAAGCAAGTTCTCTGAACAGAAAGGTTAAAAAAAAAAAATACAGCACTAAATAAGCACTATGACTTCAAGAACGGGCCACCCAGCTCTCGCCAGCCTGCCGAGAGGGTAATGAAATCTGAAGAAAGTCAAGAAATGGTTCTAACTATTTTCTAAACCTAGTCAAATGTTTTTGGTACACCCCAGAAAAAGGTTCATAAAAATCTTGAGTTCCGGTGAGAACTAAATACGAAGGAATACTAGATCGCTAAATATGGGTTGACATTTGAGAATTTTTTTTGTATAACTTGTGAAATGGAAGAAATACTTGGTTCAATGGTAAAAGGGAAATTAGATCAGCATCGGTTCTGATTAGTTGCAGCCATTCCAAGTAAGAATATTTAAAAATTTCTCCCTAGTTATAAAACATTTTTTTTTTTTAAAAAAAAAAAGCACTTTAAGATGCAGACTCAAAATCTACAACCGCTATTTCAGATCTCTGGGAATGAAAGGTTTAAACTATGAAATACCCTTTCTGGGTTTGTACCAAACATTAACTCTTGATTTGACTTCAGATGAAAAAAAATTCATTCTGAAAATAACATTGATAACAACAATAATAAAGCAATTGTTAAAAAAAAAAAAAAAACTTGCTCACATATATAAATGTCTTTTTGGAAAACTCTCTCAATGAATCTGAAGAAAATTCTCAGAGTTGTCCTGCTAAGACCTGGCTTTGTGACAGATGTAGTAGAAAGACCAAAATGAATTTCGAAAGGAACATAACCTTATAAAATGGCCTAGAGTTTAGGCAGGTTAGAAAGTAATTTTGCTACATTTATTTATGCTCGTTCAGTCCCCCAAACCTTTCCCACAATGTTATTGGATAAAAACTGCAGGAATATCACACAAATTATAAACTCAAGATGTGCAAATCGCAAGGTTCTTTAAAAGTTCATCTTTAAAAGAAAAACACTGGACAAAAATGAGTATTTCCATCCCTTTTCTCTCAGTTTCTCTGTCAGCTCTGCCTTTAATTCTCAGACATCAAAGTGAAAAGCGCCCCCTTCAGGCTGTTCTTGGTGGTCATTCATGGTCACATACTAGGTCAAAATTCACATTCATCCCTTTAAACCACATCGAAACTTTCAATCTCTTGCTCGTGAGAAACTCTGCAGAGCTGAAATGTAGTTACAGTGTTGAAAAAAAAGAAAGCAACTTAGTTTTTTTTTGTTTTTCTTCCCAAAGAGTTTAAAGTGAGATACAGTACTTGTTGAATGATAGACCAAGATGCTTGGTAATAAAGTGTGAACAGCATTTGAAGTGCTTAGAGATAGTAATTTATATGCTCATCTTCAAAATCTCATTCCTCACGTCACACTGGAATCTGAAAAAAGTGGCACCCGAGTTGTCCATAGTCATGAACTATAAACAGTACTAGAGTTAAAAGACAAAAGATTTGCAAACCCAATGCCAAGAGCTTCCTTGGCTCTCACTGTCGGGCAGTTTACCTCTTGGGAGCGAAGTCAATGCAATAACCTGATTGGTTTTCCTAACACTGCACAGAAATCAGAGTGGGGGTTCCCTGCCCACACCTGCTCCCCACTACCCCCCCAACTCTGGGGGAGCACGGCCTTGCAGGGGCTGCCCCTCCCACACGCACGACACCCTGGAGACTTCACTGCACTCGTAAAGCAGAAACGAAATCCCACGTGTGGCAGTTGCTCTTTAAAAAAAATATCAGTGCAGTCAGGCCCCATAGGGGGAAATATATATCTATAGGATTAAAAGTTGCTTTTATTGTAAAATATGTTGGAGGGGGGACATGTTTTACACGGTTAGCTTTCCACCCGCTGTCTGATGCCTCTCTAGGATGTCCTGACGCGGGGATCCTGATGTTTATTTTGCACGTGAGGACCTCCAGAGGACACCCCGCGCTGAGAACAAGAGAGGGAGACAGGGAGGCAGAGAGAGAGAGACCCTCGCTCGCTGCACGCACGCTCGCTCGCCCGCCCTGCAGTTCCCTTCCAGGAGAACTTGCTCAGGAAACCAGCGCAGTCAAGCCCGGGGATGCTGCAGGTGCAACTCCCTGCCAGACACGTGGGCAGAGCATATGCACCAGTCTCCTGCGCAACACCAGCTGCAACGCTAATGACAAGGTTATAACAGAAACCTAAAGGAAGAGGATAACATGTAAATACTGTATTATTTAGCCTACAGTACAGTAATCTTGATACACATGATAAGGGAGACCCACATTTCCTTCCCCCGCATGGCCTCTACTTGCCTACGTTAGACCGGCCTTCAATGCAAATCTTAACCTCCTGAGGAATTAGAGAAGGCTTAGGAAGAGTCAAAGGTGGCTCGTCTTCTGACTTCTCCAGTTTGCGGGTCTCTGGCGCCGACCACCTCCTCTTCCTCGTGGCTGCGGGCTTGCTGGGTGCTATTTTGGTGAGCAAAGGTGCTGCAGGCAATCCTATTTTTTCTGGAAACTTCAGTTCGCCATTCTCAGAGAGCATCTGGGCACTTCCCTGATTAATTCCGTTTTCCTGCTCTGCGTATCTGTGTCTACTGCCCGCGAGGCTGTCGGTCTTTGAGTGCTTCAGCAGGATGCTGGCGGGATCCACCTGCTGGCCCTTTTTAACAGAGCCGTTCTTCAGGTTCTTGAGGGTAAGCGAGATGCAGACATCCCCAACAGAGAGTTTGGAACACGGCAAATCAAAGAGTTGGCTGGTTCTCTCTGGACAGCAAGATGACCAGCCCTGTCCAAACACAAAAAAAGGATACTCTACCAAAACTTCAACGCTGACCTGCAGAAACAGTGAGAGACAGAGGGGACAGGAGGGAGAGAAATGAAAACAGTGTATTCTTGTTTTATTTTACATACAGGGAAACTGAAGGGGGACAAAAGGACTTCTACAAACCTCCATCCGTGCACACAAATACAGGTTTTATGTTCAGCTGTACCTCGACTTACCTTCTATAGATGTTGGGTCGAAGCCAGTGGAATGACTCCAGTGCAAAGGTCCAATCAGTAATTCAAAATCTCACTTTATAGCAGGTCTCCATTCAAACAAGTCAATAGACCTCTCCCCTCCCTGCCCCCTAAGGATGGCAGAACATGTCCTAAAAGTTCAGCAATGCACTAGGCTGTGTCTGTCTCAGAAGCCCAAATTATGGTCTTGTGCTATCCCTGGACAGATGCTCTTCTAATGTATGACAGACAATACATGGGTCAGACTTAGTCTGTATGTACCTTCCATAAGGCAGGCATTTATGGTTTTATCACAACCCCTGGGCTCTAAAAGGGCACCAAGTATATGGTTGGAGGTTAATAAATATTTATTAGTGGGAGGGGAATCAGGGCTACTGTAACCAAGGATGGGTAGGATTTAAAAAATGAGCTGAGGATAATGTTGGGGAAAGGGTGAAATGGATACAGACAGTTCAGGGGCTTGATCCATCTTGGTCAAGCCCCAAGCACTTGAGTCCTGAGCACCCCCCAAAACCAAATATCCAAAGTGGAAGGTAAAAGGATTTACAGAGTGGGGTTATAGAACTTTACACAGTTATTAACATTGGAAGAGGCCAGAGGAAGGCAGAGGCCTGTTTGAAAGAGAGGGGAGCAAGGAAATCTTCTTGGATGAGGATACACTGTGCTGAATTAAAAAAAAAAAAAATATATATATATATATATATATATTTGGGGTAGAGTGTGGTTTCAAAGAAAAGACATTCCTGGAAGTATTCCACATGTGAACAAAGGCAAGGAGATGGTATGTGAGGGATTTGCAAACTGTCCAGTGAGAATATCACTATTGTCATTAAATTAGGTTGAAATACATTTGAGGTTTTAACAGTTCGATTTTCATGGAAATTTAATTTCTTCAACTTTATGCTATAATGAAAAAAAAAGAGAAAGAAAACAGTGAAGTAGTTTAAAAGTCAATTTTCAAAGGATTTTCTAGAAGTAATCAATTAGGTAATTTGGACTAACCCTCCTGCTGAGGACAACAAAATATTCTGAAGAAAAAAATAAGCTAACGAAACTCTGGACAACATGTAAAATACCCTCTTTTATTCTTGTGCATTAGAAAAAAAGTAAGATAGCAAAAAAAATCACTGGGTCAGTGTCAGGAAAGGATGATGGTCCAGAGATTTGAACCTGGTGCTTGGAACATATGCCCCCAACAGGGCATTTGCACATTCCAAAGTGGAGCAGTTGTGAAACTAAGTGGACTTTTGGTGATCTCGACAGTTTGGGAGCAGAGATGAAGGTGGATGGCAGGGAATGGAGATCATAGAACATCAAGGGAAGATGCCCTCTGGTGTACCCTCTTGTTGTGGCCCCCAAAGTGCTGTACTCTAGAAATAAAGGTGAACTTTTATTAAATAAAGGTGAAACTTGATGAGAAGAACCATGGTTGAGCATACAATTAGAGAATGGCATTCTCTAACTAGGGCTTTAGAAGAAACTACACAAAATGAAGCAGACAAAAAGAGGGCTAATACAGAGGCAACAGTAAGATACATGCAATACACATGAGAAGCTCTAACAGACGTAATTTGAACCCTACAAAGAGGAGTGAGAGAACATGGGGCAAAGTAATATGTCAGAAGATAATGACTAAGAATTTTACAAACTAATGAGACAATAAGTCATGGATCTGCAAATAGCCCGAGCAGGAAAAAGAAAAAGAAATTCTCATGGAGGTATATCATAATTTAACTAATATAAAGGCAAAGACAAGAAAAAATTGTTTGAAACCTCCAGATCAATACATTATCTCCAAATAAGCAATAATTATACTTGTAGTTAACTTCACAACAAAAACCGTGGAAGCTAGAGGACAATGGAATCTCTTTAAAGTGCTAAAGAAAAGGAGATGCCAATCAAAAAATTTTTTTTTTAGATTTAATTTATTTATACAAGCACTGGGTACAGTCAGAGGTGCAGGAGGGTGAGAGAATTCACCAGAGCCAGAGCGGGGAGCAGAGCAGGCAGAAGGACCGAAGGACACTGCTGAGGGGAGCAGCGGGCGGCAGGAGAGGTCTGCGCGCCATGTGGGTCCCGCCTCTGGTGGCCGGGGAGCAGCTGGGGATCGAACTGGTGCTGCAGAGGCTGCGGGCAGCTTTGCAACCCAGCGCTCGACCGCTGCGCCACCGGGGAGGCCCCCAATCAAAAATTCTATACCAATCAAAAGGTTCCTTCACACATGAAGACAAGAGGAGATTCTGCCAGTCACCTTCCTGGATCTGTGAGAGCCCACATTTGCACCAGGGAAGGGACTCCAAGCCTCGTGAGAGCCCACTGGCTGACCACCAGACTGGTGAGAACCTGGACCTGCACTCAGGAAAGTGCTGGAGTGGCCTCAGACATTGCCACTTTCCATGAGACCCCACCCGCAATCTGCACAGACCAGTGGGACTCCTGACCAGTGAGAGGGGGTGTCACACTCGGCAGCTGCCACATCTACAGCAGATAGATCCCAAAACAAATAAGGGGAAGGAGAAATCCAACAAATGTCCTCATGAGTCCTGGGGTGGGGGTGGAATACAACACACAAAGATTAAATCTCCAAAGCCCAACTTCACAGCCATGGAAGAAATACTCCCCCTAACAGATAAAGAATTTAAAATTGCCATGATAAAGAATATGGAAGAATATTAAGAAAACAGAAAAAAAAAGAATATCCTTAGAAATAAAAGCAATGAACAGAAGATAGAGAGTAATAAGGTAACAGTGGAGAATCAAGATATAAAAAGAGAGCTACAGTAGATGAAAATTTCAGGAGAAAGTCACAGAAGTAGAATAGACAAAGTGTGTAGGATCCCCAGTCCTCTTTGCTCTTGGGGCTACTGTCTTGGTACCCAGTTCTTGCTGGTCAGCTAGGCGTACAGTCAGGCAGGAGACCTCTTACCAAGAACAAGATTCCTGGTGTATGGAACATACTGGGAAACCAATATCTGCTGAAAAAAGCAGGTAGATATTATGGCCAGATTAGCAAGATCAGCCAAATACTTCACTTGTAAGCATTAGCAGAAAGTGAGGTAAGAATTGAGAATAGAGATAATATGCTTTGACTTGCTGGACCATAAAGGCATCAAGCTAGAAATCAAGTGTCAAAAAAAAGCAGGGAAACCCCTTAATACAGGGACCTGAACAACACATTCCTGAAAGACTATTGGGTTAATGAAGAAATCAAAAAGTACCTCAAGACAAATGATAAGGACACAATTTTTCAAAACTTACAGGATACAGCAAAAGCAGTACTAAGAGGGAAGTATATAGCAATACAGGCTCATATCAAGAAACAAGAAAGAGCTCAAATAACCTTCTCTCTGGAGGAGGAATTAGGAAAAGAACAACCAAGTCCAAAAGTCAGTAATAATCAAAATCAAAGCAGATAGAAATTAAATAGCAATAAAAGACAATCCAAACAATGAAACCAAAAGTTAATTCCTCCAAAAAATTAAAATGAAAAGAGATAAACCTCCAGCAAGGCTTACTAAGAAAATGAGGGCAAACTCTCAAATAAATGGAATTGTAAATGAAAGAGGAAAAATTACAACTAATGCTGCAGTAATTCAGAGGATAATTAGAGACGACCATGACCATGAACATTCATACACAGACAAATTCAAAAACCTAGAAGAGATGGATAAATTTTTAGACTTGGACAATCATCTGAGGCTGAATAGGGAAGAAATAGAAATAGAAATCCTGAACAAATCCATCTCAAAAAAGGAATTTGATGCAGTAATCAAAACTCTCTCAAAAACCAAAAGTCCAGGACCAGATGGTTTCACAAGTGAATTCTATCAGACCTTCAAAAATGAACTAATACCTATCTTGGTCAAATTCCTCCAAAAATTGAAAAATGTGTTCGAAACACATTTTGTGAGATGAACAGACCTAAGAATAATGAAAATGGTAGCTGTGTGGGTAAATCAAAATACTATTTACTATACACAATAATATTAAGATGTCTGTTGAATTTTACAAACATGGACACTTGTACTGCAAACACAAAATCAAAAGTAGTATATTTCCATGTAATTTATATAGATATAGCTTTTCTGTTCAACCAGCTTTATCTTTTTTGGAACGTATGATGGATCGAGTTCTAGACACACTTCTTGAGTGATATACTTTATTTGTGTCCATAGAAGACACACACGTTTTGAAAACAACTATGGTGAATATATACAAAAGTCTGTTTTTACAGTGTTTGTGTGCCAGTCTGAGCCCATATAAATATATAATATACATGAAAATTCATGATTTTGGGCTAATTTAATAATGTAAATAGAGGTAACTTTTTTTTTAAGTACCTACTATCTATGAAATACTCAGGTATGAACTTCACAAATATATTTGATTTAATGCTTATAATGTATTAATGAAAAAGTACTGTTGTTCCACCTTTAGTTTGGAAACTAGTTTAGTTCCAAACTAGTTTCCAATTCTAGTTTCCAATTAGAAACTACAATCTGAGAAGGATGAAATCACCTGCCTAATATCAGAACTATAAACTGATGACATTGGGATTCAATCTCAGTCTCATTGAATTTGTCCCTGTGGACAAAAGTAATACCACCCAAAGAGATGAATTTAACATTCCCATTACCCGCCCCCCCCCAACAGTGGTGAATGTTACCCTCAAATACATAGGATCTGCTCACATGAGCTATGGATTTGTTCCATGCAATGAACATGGTGAAGGTGTCTGCCTGTCTTCTTGGACAATTTTAGTCCTCCTGACAAGTGTGTGACGAGTCTGATATTCAATATTCAGAACTACATTTA